GATTCAAAAACCACCCTACAAGGGCTTATCAACTCGATCCATGCACTACGGTTTGGAAAATATTAAACTCAAACCCACCCAAAAAAATTTAAACCCTACGGGTTGTTTCTAACTGGGTTAGGTCAGGTTGGCGATATTTTTAAGTAAAAACCCAACCCAACACAAAATATGTAATTATTCTACACCTTAAAAATATTTTATAACTAATTTAAATTTCAAACGAATAACACAAGGTGAAAGGTATCAAAATTCACAAATGTTGTTTGAATTTTAATAAAATATGATTTAATTGAACATATGTCAAGTTTTTTCACGACATTTGTTAAAATAGGCTAAAAAGCATTATTGTCAAAACTAAACCAGACATCGTTCCGAATTATCGAGAGGTTCAAGATTTATCGGGTAACCGATATTAAAAATCGGTCATAAATCGGCAATAGCCTACTTGGTGAAGCAAGAGCAATGCAAAGTGCAAATTATTATTGTCTATTGTTTTATTTTGCTAAAGATAATATCTCCCCTCTAAAGAATAATAGAAAGAGAATTACTATGTCAAAACTAAAATGGAGTAGATAGGCCGCTGCTGCTAGGTTAGGGTAGAGAATTGAAAGTCTTTTTCCATTTTTAGTTTATTTTGTTAGCTACTTTTTTTTTTTAATTTTTAATTGAAAGAAAGCTAAAAGCTACGGAAAAAATCCAAAAGTACCTTTGTTTAAAAAAAAAATTCCAAAAATACCACCCTTTTTCAAAAACCGCCACCCCGCCCTGCGGTTTACAAGAAAACCGTTTGTCGAGGGCGCGGTTTTCTATGCATACCGCGGGCCTAGGGGGCGGTTATAAAAAAAAAAATTTGGACCAAACCGCTTGGTGGGGTGGCGGTTTGACCCAAAACCGCCACCCCACCCAGCGGTTTGGTCCAAATTTTTTTTTTCCGATCAACTCCTAACTTCGGCCGAAACTTCAAACGAACGTAACTTTGCACTCGGGTATCCGATCGATGCGATTTTTTTTTTCATTTCGCATAACTTTTCAAGATCTACAACTTTTATACGGATGAAATTTTCAAAACAGTAACTATTTGTGGATATACGGGACCTTGAGAATAACTTTACCTTTACTTTTCACAAATCCATGTACATTTTGAAATTATGATTATATTAAAAGTTGTAGATCTTGAAAAGTTATGCGGAATAAAAAAAATTTCATAACATTCGGATTTTGGAGTTAAAAGTTATGACCGCCCAAAGTTTGACGAAATGCGAGACCCGGCGGTATGCGGCTTGCAAGATCTAAAAAAGTTTGCGGCCTCCATTTTTTGAATCCTAATAACTTTTTGAGATCTTGCAAGCCGCAAACTGCTAGGTCCCGCCTTCGTCTCGAAAAAACGTCAGTTGCCACCCCGAACGAGCCTTTTATTGATTTCGTCAAACTTTGGGCGGCCATAACTTTGTGCTCCAAAATCCGAATGTCATGAATTTTTTTTGATTCCACATAACTTATCAAGATCTACAACTTTTAATATAATCATAATTTCAAAATGTACACGGATTTGTGAAAAGTAAAGGTAAAGTTATTCCCGAGGTCCCGTATATCCACAAATAGTTCCTGTTTTGAAAATTTCATCCTACTAAAAGTTGTAGATCTTGAAAAGTTATGCGAAATGAAAAAAAAATTGCTACGATCGGATACCCAAGTGCAAAGTTACGTTCGTTTGAAGTTTCGGCCGAAGATGGGAGTTGATCGAAAAAAAAAAAATTGGACCAAACCGCTGGGTGGGGTGGCGGTTTGGGTCAAACCGCCACCCCACCCAGCGGTTTGGTCCAATTTTTTTTTTATAACAGCCACCTAGGCCCGCGGTTTGCATAGAAAACCGCGCCCCCGACAAACGATTTTCGTGTAAACCGCAGGGTGGGGTGGCGGTTTTTGAAAAGGGATGGTATTTTTGGAATATTTTTTTTAAACAGTGGTACTTTTGGATTTTTTCCAAAAGCTACGCGTCTGTTTGCTTTTTAGAAGATGCAGTGGAAAAAAGGCGCACAGTGCGCTGCGACCGGAATTAGGCTTCCGTGACCGGATTGGTACCTCGGTTCAGGTTTTTTCGGTTTGACCGGCCGACTTGGTCCGGGTTAGATAGCCCTACTAAAAAGGTTATAAACGAACGCATCCATAATATGTTATTCTATTAAAATTGTACACAAGAAACAGATTACGTGAATCCTAGTTATATTAAATTTATGTCTAAATTTTAACCCGAAGAATGCATTAGATTAGGGAGACTATGAGAGAAAAACATGGCGAAATATCTTAATTTTCTCATAAGTATGGCTATATACGACATAAATATTTTTTGGATACTGTAACATGACACCCCGAATTTTGAGGTTTAGGTTCAACCAACAATAACCGAATTACTCGATTGAACCGTTCACACCTGTATCCAAAAATTACCCTGCAATTCCCAGTTTGCCCTCTAATTAAACCTATTTAAGAATGGGCCGATTAATTCTTAGTAGTATGACCGATTAATTTTGCCACTTCATTACAGTTTAGCCAGCCATTTGCTTCCCTTCGATCAGTTACTATTTTCCATATTATTTAAGCATCATCATTGAGAACCCCAATCTAACGAAAGCCGATGTGACCTCTCAACTCACTCCTCCATCGATCACGAATAGAAAATCCACCGCTCACCAAAATTTTGCAGCGCAAGGCTCTTCGGAAGTCGTGAGCGTCGTGTCCATGAAGCTCATGCTACAAACCGATGATCGGAGAGCAGGCCGTTGTCACTTTCCCTCGGTTCAAAATTCGCACGCGACAGAGACTCTTAAATTTTATGTCGGTGATCCTCTTAGTCGGATAAGTTTGTGGGCCCAGGAGGATGTGGCAGCGGCAGTAGGTCAAGTAGCGAACGCGGGAGCTAATCTTATTCGCAATTGATTACTAAGTGCGGACTGCATCATCATTTCACAAGAGGGATTCATGTTCAATGGCGATCCAAAATTCAGATGAATGGTCAAAGGAAAGAGATCGTTGCTCATCAACCGAGGAGTTCAAATTTTGGGTGGTATGTGAAGTTGTTGGTGGTTCAAGTCACTCGGTTTCGACAGAAATAAGGTGACTGTAAAGGGGGTAATATCTCAGTCATAGGTCTTCTAGTTTATGCCTTTTATTTCGAGTATTGTTAGTTAATTTATGATTTTGCGCGATTATGTGAGAGAGGCATCCCACCGCCTACTTAAGGTGGAGGCATGCGTTGTGCTATGTATGTGATGTATATTTGTATGTAAGATGAACTCCCGGCGGTTGGGCCACTACTGGACGCAGTAGATGGTCAGATCACTGCTAGACGGCGAGACATAACGCAACAGTTAATCGTGTATGTTGGGGTCACTACTGGACGCCGAGACGTAACGCAGTAGTTGACTGGGCATGGACTGAACGGCGAGACGTAACGCAGTGCCATTGTTGAGTTTGGGTATGAAACCGACGCCGAGACATAACACGGTTGGCATACTAGGGTAGGACACCAAACTTCGAGACGTAACGCGATGGTCGTAGTGTTTTGTGTTTGAATTAAGGATAAAAGTTGAAAACTTCTATGAGCTATGTCGGAATAAAGTGTTAAGGATAAAAGTAAATAACTTCTATAAGATAAGGTTAGGAGTAAAGATATTTCATAAGTTATTAAGTAGTAAAGTATAAGGGATGAAAGCGAGAACTACTTTTGTCTAAACCGGGAACCCTAATAATGTGTTTAGTAAGGGTTTGCTTAGGGCAAAGACCTTAGGAAGTAACGACGAGACTGACCCCTTCTCACTCACCAGGTTGAGGAAGGGTTATCTGAGGTGGATCCCGAGACGGAGCAAGGCGAGGCGAGCATCCGTACCAACATTGGTGAGAAGTCAAGGAGCTCATTAGGAGTTAAAGTAGAATAGTTTAATTAATTTGTTGCATGGTTAGGAGTATAAACTGGAGATTCTGTGTTAAGTTGTTTTAATTGTTTGAGATTGAGATTTTCCCAAGTGTTGGGGCTTTTCGTTTAAAATTCTTAAATAATGTCAGTTTGTTTATTTTAAATGTGGTTTGGGTTGCTCCGGAGTAACCGGTTTTTGGTTTTAGATATGGTTTGGTTTACGAAAAAAGTCGGGTTGTTTCAGATACGAACTCATACCAATAGTTGAAACATGGGTTGGGTCGGGTTATACGGGTTGTGTAATCCAAAATCCAAACCCAACCCAAAAGAAGGGAGTTGTACAAAAGAAAACCCTCACCCAACCCAAAACCTTCATTTTAGCGATAATACGGGTTGGTTGGGTCGGATTGCGAGTGTGTTTGTTCACTCCTAGTGGTGGCTGCTAATTTTTACCCAAAATCAGCTAGTTGATTTGTTGTTGGTGGCAATTTAAACCGTGTAACTCAAATAAACAATTGCAAATCGAGGCCAGTAAAAGGGTAGTAAGACTAGAACTATCTATGAGTTGGCTATTTTCAAAAGGAAACAAGATAATTAAGGTTGAAACAATATATATTTGTTATTTTATATATAAATATCAATATAATGTAAATATTTAGATAATAAGACATATATAAATAGCTAGAAGGAAACAAGATAACGATCAAACAATGTGTTTGCTTACATTTAAGCATTCGTTCCGAAACCAAATGGCTATATACTATAAGTATGCTCTAGATTAGCTTACTTGACTTCACAATCGCCACACTTTGAAAGGTCGGTGGCGGTGTGAGAAACGTAAAGAAGGGTGGTTCTCGGGGATTTTCCAACATTCGAAATTATTCATGTTGACGGGAAGGGATCACATGATTAATCTCTTACTAGATTTTTCATGACCATTTCTAATTAGAGGTAATAAATCATTCATATCGTATTTATCCCTTTTTATTTTTATTAATTTGATGACTACAATTTTTTAAAAACCTTCTTGAGGGTTAGACTTCATGACCTTAACTAAACAATTGACCATGTCTTTCAAGACTCAGTTTATGTGTTAAGACTTTTATTCTGGTGCATTTTCTTTCATTTGTCAAAACTATATTTTAAACAATCAGTCAACATCAACATCTTACGAAAAATAATGCATATATGGAATTTTTTTGTTAGGTTGAGTTTGACATGTCATATTGAAGAAATCGGCTCTACCACATGTCTCCCTCGACGGCTACCTCGTCGTGGGCACGATCACTCCTCGTTGTCCGAAAGGACGCCCTAGAATCGAGCCATCTGCTCTGTGAGATCGGCGGTTCGGTCTAGCCGAGCAGTGACTCCCACGTAGAGTGCCTCGAGGTGGGATCCGGAGGTAGAGGGTCCGGCCCCTAATGATGATGATGCAGCTGATGATGGTGGTGATGGGGTGCGCTAGTGGCGGCCGGGAGCTCTGGTGGGTGGCTGCTCCTGAGGAGGAACTCCTGGTGGGAGGGAGAGTCCCTCGATATAGCGAAATGGTCCGAAGAATCGAAGCAACTTCATTGCTCTTAAGGTGTCCTCCCCAAATCCCATGGAGTGCCCTTCATTTTTGCAGCACTCGAGGTTGAAATTGAAGCGTTGAGCCAGGTGGATGATGAAGGGGCCCATAGATGTGGCGTAGCATCGACTGCCACTAATGGCTCTGCTGAAAGAGGTTGCCAGAACCGAGCCAAGGTGAATTTGACTGAATTGGTCCGCATTGGAGGTGAATGCTAGCAATGCTCTCATGGTAATCTTGTTTGCGCACATGTATCTTGGGTAGAGAGAATGAGCTACGAGTGTGTTGATGACACGCCATTGCGGCTTGAGCGTAGATGCTGAAGTGCGGGATGGAACAAATCGGGTCTGGCGCATTTTCGGGAGGCAAAACTTCTTGAAAGCGGATTGCGCATCAAAATCTTTCAGGGCATCAGCCTCCCACACTTCCTCTGACCTCACGAGGACTCCCATTGCATCAGCAAGCTGTTGGGTTAACAAGCTTGATTCAGCTAATTGAATGTCATAGGATATTTTGTTTTAAATATATGTTATTATGTGGAACTAACAATCTATGCAGAAATATCACAATCAATGATGAGGAAAAAGGAAACAATTCAAGGTGATTGCTTGCCCTCAAAGGAGTTACCATATCAAGCAAAAAGGTATCAAATCAAGGAGATACTTGCCACATAAAGGACTACAAATGAAAGGAAATGAAGGCTCACATCAACTATAAATAGTAGAGTCATTTGTAGGCCAATACACCTTTTGCAAAGCTCTCTTCTCCCTTGTAATAGCGAAATTGTGTGATCATATTTCATGGTGTGAATAGCTTGATATCTCGGGGGTTGAGATATTCAAGCTAGGTCGGGTAGGAAGGGTAGGAAGGGTATTTGTAATTGGGACTAGTGTAAGAGCAGGAGGGGATTCTTGCTTGGGAGTTGCACTAGGTGAATTACTCTCCAATCAAGTCAAACTAAGAGTGTTGGCTTGATTGATTGAGTGGGTAGCTTAGCTTGGATTTAACTAAGGGTTGAATAGGTGTGGAGTTGCACCTATTTAGTTCTTGACACAAAGTGTCAAGGTTGTTTCAATTTCATAGGTTAGAGAGTCTTTTATTTTAATAAAAGTTAGAGTCTCTCGTGAGATAGTGGTAACTATCTCCGGGACGTGGATGTAAAGCCATATTGGCCGAACCACGTTAAAATCGCGTGTCCCGACTCATCTTTCTCCCTCTCTTTATACCTCCTCTAACTTTGTTATATTCATCAGTGCCAACAAGTTAATCATTTCAGGAGAGATTCTTGGCAAGTCCTTTTGTATTGGTCAATCAAGCTAGTGCTAATCTCTCACTATTGAAATCTGAATTAATTTGTGCATTGATCATGTCAAAAGTATCCTTATTGACCCAGCTTGGTCTAACAAGTGGTATCAGAGCCCGGCTCCCTCAAAAAGATCGAAAGATCTGCGAGGAAACTGAGATCCGATATACCAAGCATGCCTGGTGGGTCATCTACAAATAATGGTTCTAATTCTACTCATATGGAGGGTCTTTCATATTTTAGACCTCCATGGTTTGATGGATGTAGTTATTCCTTTTGGAAAACACGTATGATTGTTTTCTTTAAAGGGATGGGCTTTGACGTTTGGAATGTAGTTGAGAATGGTGTGGGTGATATCAAAGATGATCCCAACACATGGTCTAGCGATGATCTAAAAAAGATGGAGTTAGATGCTAAAGCAACAAAGTCTTATATTGTGCAATATGTCCATATGAATTCAATAAGGTGAACAGGTGCAAAACGGCACATTAGATCTGGAAAACCTTGGAAGTATCACATGAAGGGACAACTGAGGTAAAAGAATCCAGGATATATCAATTGGTGCATGAATATCAAATGTTCAAAATGCACCCAGGTGAGTCTATTTCTGATATGTATGTTCGGTTTAATTTAATAGTAAGTAGACTTAGTGCATTAGGAAAAATTTATGATAATGCTGAACTGGTCAGGAAAATTCTTTGGTGTTTACCCAAAGAATGGATGCCTAAGAAAAATGCCATAGAAGAGGCTAAAAATCTTTCTACTCTTAGTATTGAAAATTTGATAGGATCTCTAATTAGTCATGAAATTGCCTTAAAAGCTCAAGGTGATGAGAATAATGACAATAAAATTAAAAGTCTAGCTTTCAAGGTTTGTGAGAAGAAAGTCACAAATGATGAAGGATCAGGAGATGATTTCGATCAGGGATTTGCTCTCTTTTCAAAAAATTTCAAAAAGTTTTTAAAATTAGAAAGAAAACAAGGAAGGGGTAGTTCTTTCTATTTTCGTGAGAATAATAGGAATGGAAAGGGAAAATATTTCGATAATCAAAAGAAGAATAATAAAATGGAAAGTGAGTATGAAGATCAAGGTTTACCAAAATGCTACAAGTGTGGAAAGGTTGGTCATGTAAGGGCTGAATGTCCTAACAAAGGACGGAGTAGAGAAAAGACTTATGCAGTGGCTTGGAGTGGATTAGAAGATGAAAGTGAAGATAACGAAAGCAAAGAACAAGTCTATATGGCATTCGCCAACCGAGATGATGGATCCTCCTCGTCAAGATCACATGAAGATGAGGTATGTTCATCCTTTCCAACTTATGATAGTGATTGTGGCTCAAATCTTCGTAGTAGTATAGTTGAAGCATATGAAGAAATGCAAAATCATTTTGAAAAGCTAAAAGATAGATACTACAAGGTAAAAGAGGACTTGAAATTAAGCAAGAATGAAATTAAGGAATTAAAAGAGGATATTGCAATATTACGGGATGAAAATCAAGTTCTGAAGAAATCAAAGGGTAAACTCAAGAGTAATAAACCTCTTGAAGAACTAGAAGATATGAGAGTTAGAAATAATGAACTGGAATGAATGATAATAGATTCTAGGAGTAAGCTTCTTGAAGCAAATACCAAGATTGAGCGATTAGAAGACAAGGAAAAGAAGTCTAAAGAAAAGGTGCAAAAATCTCATAATAAATCATTTATGTGTGTTGGATGCAATACTCATAGTGAAGATAATAACAAAATTAGGTGCATGAACTGTGGGAAGAGTCATCATAGTAAAGAATGCAAGAAAAATGCGAGGTGTAGTAAATGCACTAGAAAAGGACACACTAAACAAGAATGTCATTCAAGAATCGTCTGCTATTGTTGTCATAAACAAGGACACATTAGGAGAAATTGCTACTACAATAACTATTATAGCTCATATCAATCGTATCCCAAGAAAAAGGTGCCCAAGCAAGTCTGGGTACCAAAATCAACACTCTAAATATTTTGCAGGTCATTAAGAGAGCAGGAGCAAATGAATGGTATCTAGATAGTGGATGCTCTCACCATATGATGGGAAACAAGAGTCTCTTTTCAGAATTGACTCTTAAAAAGGGAGGTAAAGTAACCTTTGGTGATAATGGTAAAGGTTGAATACTTGGAGTTGGTACGATTGGAGAGCCTCCAAATCCTACCTTCACTCAAGTGTTATTTGTCGATAGTCTTAAGCACAACCTGTTATCTATTAGTCAATTATGTGGTACAACTAATAGAGTTGTGTTTCAACCTGAGACATGCCTTATTGAGGGGATCAAAGACAATAAACCATTATTTCTAGGAGTTAGGAAAAATAATGTCTATGTCATTGATCTTAGTAAAAAGGCTTCATTCAATGAAACCTGCTTTCTCTCTCTAGGTAAGAACAAGCAATTTCACTGGTATCGAAGACTAGGACTTGTTAGCATAAAGAGATTGGCAAAAGTAGCTAACTTGGGTCTAGTAGATGGTCTACCTCAATTAAAAGAATCAAAGGACTTCTTTTGTGATGCATGTATACTAGGAAAACAAACTCAAGCATCCTTCAAGAGTGTATCTCACTTCACTACATCTAAACCTTTAGAGCTCCTACACTTAGATCTGTTTGGGCCTACGAATGTGATGAGCTTTGGTGGAAAGTATTACGCATTTGTCATAGTAGATGATTTTTCTAGATATACATGGGTAATCTTTCTGACACACAAAGATGAAGCTCTTGAGAAATTCAAGATTCTTGTGAAAAACATTCAAAATGAGAAATCCCTCAGTGTCAAAAGCATCAGAAGTGATCATGGAGGAGAGTTTGATTCATAAAGCTTTGGAAATTTCTGCGATCAACTAGGTATCTCCCATGAGTTCTCAGGCCCTAGGACACCTCAACAAAATGGTGTAGTGGAAAGGAAAAATAGAGCTCTTATAGAGCTAGCTAGAACAATGCTTAGTGACTATAGGCTTCCTAAGTATTTTTGGGCTGAAGCAGTAGCTACCGCCTGTTATGTTCTAAATAGGACATTGATTAGGGTCATCATAGAAAAAAACACCTTATGAAATCTGGAAAGATCGGCGGCCAAATATTAGTTATCTTAGACCATTTGGATGTAGATGCTTTATACTTAATACTAAGGATGCACTAGGAAAATTTGACTCCAAGTCGGATGAAGGAGTACTCTTGGGATATTCTACTCGTATTAAATCCTATAGAGTCTTCAACAAGAGATCCTTGAAGGTAGAGGAATCAATACATGTTGTTTTTGATGAAACTGACTATATTTCTGAGCATGAAAGAGAGCAGGACGATGATAAGGATGATTTGGGACTAATTCGAATGACGACAACCTCAGTCACCCAAGAAGCGGAGCTTTCACATGAGAGGTTAGTCAAATCCCAAGAGCCAAGTGCACCACCCCATAATACTAAGGCACATCCTCCGCATCAAATCATTGGGAACATTAATGATGGGGTCAAAACAAGATCAAGTAAGGACTTATATCAAGGTCAGACTTCTTACTTTTAACTTATTGCTATAGTCTATTTATCCTTGATTGAACCTAAAAACATTAAGGAAACTTTACTTGATGAAAGTTGCTTCTTGCTATGCAAGAAGAAATGCTTCAATTTGCTAGAGCTCAAGTATGGGACTTGGTTCCTAGACCCATAGGTAAAACTATTCTAGGACTTAAATGGGTCTATCGAAATAAAACAGATGATCAAGGGGTAGTTAATAGGAATAAGGCTCGGTTGGTGGCTAAAGGCTATAATCAAGAAGAAGGAATAGACTATGATGAAACATTTGCTCCCATAGCTCGTATTGAGGCAATTAGACTATTGTGTGCTTTTGCTTCTTCAATGAATTTCAAATTATATCAAATGGATGTCAAAAGTGCATTTCTGAATGGAGTCCTTCATGAAGAGGTCTATGTGGAACAACCTCCTGGTTTTGAAGATCATAGGTTTCCTAACCATGTTTTCAAACTTAAAAAGGCTCTCTATGGTTTAAAACAAGCTCCTCGTGCGTGGTATGAACGTCTAACCCAATTTCTAGAAAGTGAAGGGTTTTTTAGGGGTTCTGTCGATACAACCTTGTTTCTCAAAAAGCTCAACAATGATCTTATGGTTGTCCAAATTTATGTTGATGACATAGTTTTTGGTGCTACTAATGAAGCTATGTGTGTAGAGTTTGCCTCTTCTATGCAACAAAATTTTGAAATGAGTATGATGGGTGAACTTACTTACTTCCTAGGACTTCAAATCCAACAAACTTCAAGAGGAATTTTCATTAGTCAGACAAACTATACCCAGTCCATGATGACCAAGTTTAATCTTGGTAATCTTAATCCTAGTCCAACCCCAATGGCTACCAATATCCAATTAGACAAGGATGAAGGTGGTATAGATGTTGATGAACGTAAATACCGTGGGATGATAGGGTCGCTTCTGATTTATTTACTGTTTATATATACATCTAAAATAAAAATAAAAAAGATGGGCAACGTGAGTTCATTAAACCATCAAAATAAATAAAATAACAACACTATTAATAATACAAAAAAAAAAAAAAACGGCGCCTGCTTGCTACGTGCGCCTCACCTATCTCTGGTCGTATCCTCGCCTTTCCCCTTTTTCGCCGATCTCCGACGATTCTTACTGCTTCCTTCTTCTCTGGAGTATCCTCTCCTACTTCTTAATTCTCGATCTCCCTTCCCGATCCCTGGCGATTCTTCCTGGTCCTTTCTTCTCTGCTTCTCAATCTATTCTTTCCGTTTCGTCGCCCACTTGCCTTCCATTTTTTCTTTCTTTTACCGCCAGTTGACTTGCGTTCGACTTCCTCCTTTCTGCGAAATCAGTAGGTATGATTTGCCTTCCATTTTTTTTCCTTTACCGCAGTCGACTTGCATTCGACTTCCTCCTTTTCTGCGAAATTAGTAGGGATGATTTCCTTTCCCCCATCCCTTCAGTTCCTCTGGCGGCATAAATGCAGCCTCTGCCTATATATATCAATCCAACTCTGTCACCCTCGTCATTAAAAAAAAAAAAAAAATTAAAACAAAACTCCTTGCTCCCACGGTTCTGGCGGACTTGCAATCATGAGCTTCCTTTCCGGTGAATCGTTCCTCATAAATGCAGCCTCTGCCTATATATATCAATCCAACTCTGTCACCCTCGTCATTAAAAAAAAAAAAAATTAAAACAAAACTCCTTGCTCCCACGGTTCTGGCGGACTTGCAATCATGAGCTTCCTTTCCGGTGAATCGTTCCTCATGACTCCCGCTCTCTTTCGTCGTCAGCAGAGGATCGTCTCCTTTACCGGGGCGTTCTATCCTCATCCTGTTGGTGAGAATCGTCATCGTCATCAACAGATTTTTGCCGTGAAGCCAATTCTGCCGATCTGTACTATGGATCCTTATGCCTTCGCCTTTGTCGACACGGTGGATCCTATCACCCTCATCGACAACCTAGGCTGGCTTCCTATGGGTGATTCCCCTCCTCGCAGCTACTGCCCAGCTGCCGTTCGTGACTTCTATTCAAATCTCTGGACTGATGGGATCGCAACGGGAAAATTCTCCACCCTGGTTTATGGTCACCTGCTTACTCTTTCAATTGATGACCTTGCTGCATTTCTTGTTCTGCCTACTAGAGGCAAGCAGCTCATTAGTCCTCTGGAGTTATGGTCCTACAAGTTTGACTTGCGTCGGGAGGTCACAAATCGCTCCTTTGAATCGCTGGATAATTCACTCAGGCTTCTTCACTACTACATCAACCGAGTGTACTTCCCGCGGGCTGATCGCTTGGATGTTGTTTTGCCTCTTGATTGCTGGGTCATGTCTCACGCCATCTCTGATATGCCGTTGAGCTATCCTCACCTGCTGTTTGGGGCAATCGTGGATGCCGCGGCCAACGACTCTCCCAGTGTTGGCCTTCCCTTTGCTGCGTTGGTTACGTTGTTGCTGCATCGTCTCGGCGTTCCTCTGTCTGACTTTGTCACTGTTTCTGACAACTGTGTTCATTCCTCCATTGATGAGGTGTTGGTTACGGTGGGAATTCCTCCCATCGTTGATTTATCATCAGGGGTAGAAAATGATCATGGTCATGGGGCCACAGACGCAACTATTAGAGAAAGAGGCGAAGAGGCCAAAGACGAGGCGTCTGCGGATTGTGGTGCATCTGCTTCAGCTTCTGTCCGTCCCTTCAAGCTCAAGCGACAAGCTAAAGGGTCTCGCCCTTCTAACAGAGTTCTCAAGCGTCTCAATAATCAAAATTCCTCTCAAGGAGTGGTTCTCTATGAGAATCATGATCTTGAGCAAACCAATTAAAAGCCTTAATTTAGGGGGAGCTTGGGTTTCGAGTTGTTAGTTATTGATGTTGATGTTTTAAATGGCTTATTTGAATTGTTGTTTTTAAGGTCTAGAGTCAGGGGGAGTATCAAATCATGTCTCTTATTTGCGTTGTTGAGTGTTTTGATTGAATAATGCCCTGAGCTATACTTAGGATGAATGAAGTAATTTGTTTTCTTAATAATCTGTGGCGTAGGATGAATGAGAGATATAATGACCGCCATGCTTTAATCTTGAGCTTAATGATGAATGAAGCATATGCAGTAACAGGATGCTAAATCAAGCTTAGGGGGAGAATGTTGGGTTAACAAGCTTGATTCAGCTAATTGAATGTCATAGGATATTTTGTTTTAAATATATGTTATTATGTGGAACTAACAATCTATGCAGAAATATCACAATCAATGATGAGGAAAATGGAAACAATTCAAAGTGATTGCTTGCCCTCAAAGGAGTTACCATATCAAGCAAAAAGGTATCAAATCAAGGAGATACTTGCCACATAAAGGACTACAAATGAAAGGAAATGAAGGCTCACATCAACTATAAATAGTAGAGTCATTTGTAGGCCAATACACCTTTTGCAAAGCTCTCTTCTCTCTTGTAATAGCGAAATTGTGTGATCATATTTCGTGGTGTGAATAGCTTGATATCTCGGGGGTTGAGATATTCAAGCTAGGTCGGGTAGGAAGGGTAGGAAGGGTATTTGTAATTGGGACTAGTGCAAGAGCAAGAGGGGATTCTAGATTGTGAGTTGCACTAGGTGAATTACTCTCCAATCAAGTCAAACTAAGAGTGTTGGCTTGATTGATTGAGTGGATAGCTTAGCTTGGATTTATCTAAGGGTTGAATAGGTGTGGAGTTGCACCTATTTAGTTCTTGACACAAAGTGTCAAGGTTGTTTCAATTTCATAGGTTAGAGAGTCTTTTATTTTAATAAAAGTTAGAATCTCTTGTGAGATAGTGGTAACTATCTCCGGGACGTGGATGTAAAGCCATATTGGCCGAACCACGTTAAAATCGCGTGTCCCGACTCATCTTTCTCCCTCTCTCTATACCTCCTCTAACTTTGTTCTATTCATCAGTGCCAACAAGTTAATCATTTCAGGAGAGATTCTTGGCAAGTCCTTTTGGATTGCTCAATCAAGCTAGTGCTAATCTCTCACTATTGAAATCTGAATTAATTTGTGCATTGATCTCGTCAAAAGTATCCTTATTGACCCAGCTTGGTCTAACACAAACTGGTTGAAAGATAGTTTTTGAGGCACACCTCCCAAACGGAAACAAACGGCGCAAGTCGGTTGCCCCATAAGGTTCGCCTCCTTCAGGGTGCAGAATGTGCTTAATAAATTTACACACAGCTCCGTGTAGATGTCGTCTTCCAACTGGAGAAGCTGGCGCCATTGTGGGTGTGCTATAGCCTCTCGCATGATATGTCCACACTGAAGGTCATCGAACTGAGTGCAGTCAAGTTTCCAATGGACCCTAGTCCAAGACTGTGCCCAGAACCTCATTTCCTTTTCAACTTTCAGCCACCTCCTTAGCTCTATCAGGTATGGGTGGCTCAGGTCAACCATCTTGCAAAGCATTCAGACATACGCCAGACGAACCGCCACCCTCTGCTCCGCTAAAGCGGTCGGCTGGAGAGAAATAAGATGAGTCGCCGTCGTGTTGATATTAAATTGAAGTGGTAGGAGAGAGAAAATAAAGAAATATTTAATTAGTTTATATTTATTTTCCACCTCACATTTTAATTGACTAATTGTTGCCAACTCAATCTTTCCGTTAGTCTAGTCAGCTATTTGGTTAACACCGTCAAAGAATTAGACGGAAGTGGTTATTTTTGGTATTTCGTCAAAAGTGGCTATATTTGGCCAAACCGTCAAAGTTTTGGCTACCTAAGTGTATTTTGCCTTGTATGTTTGACATTAGTCCATTTGTTTCGGTTGATATTGTATGTTCAATTTTTAGTATTGTGCATTGTTGGTGCGAAAGAGTACATTGATAGGTCATGTTTTTTGTGCCCATTAACTTTATAATTTTTATTGATTTTTTGTCATTTTATACTTAACCATAAGAAGTTTAAGTTAGACAACGAATGAAATGAAAAGTTATCTAGAATCTATATTCATGTCTTGAGATATTAAACATCACATAATCAAAACAACAAATTTCAACATAGATATTTATTTTCGTTATATGTAAAATAATTAGCTTGCAAATGAATCCTTGAAAATTAATTTGTATATCACTATTTTGATTTATATATTGTAGATTGTCATCTTTTGAATTAAAAAGGAAATAATGTACATAATATTACTATAGATGTATTACATTTAAATAGTTTAAAGATACAAAAATTAAAGGAAAAGATAAAAAAATGTGGTATGGAAATAGATTATTTAGAAAATTATGTAAAGAAAATCCAAAAATATTAGTATAGATGTATTAAATTTATATGTTTAAAAGAGACAAAAATGAAATATTAGCAAAAGACGATTTTGACTTGAAATGGTCTTTGTAGGTTATTCATCCATTTGAAATATTAACATTTAAAAATATTCTTATATTTTTAAATGTTTTGTTAACTATATCCTATGTTTTCAAGAGTGGAGTGGTTGTTGGATGGAAAATGTTAGTGACTCACGATTAATGGTTTATTGTTATACAACTATTTTGGAATCGTTAGGAACTACTCATTCGCGTAAATAATATAAATGTACATAATAGGGTAGTTAGGTTGAAGAAGCATTTAAGTTTTTGTCATTGGACCAGATTTTACGTTGAATAATTTTCTAATAAGAACCTTTCTCGTATTGGCAGGTTTGTCCCTTGGGGGCAGGAAATAGAGGAAGATAGGTTCACTGCCACTGCACTGAGAATTGACTCACACTCGTTATGGTCCATGATCTCAATGAATCATGGTAGGACGAAACTAAAAATAAGTGAAAATTAAAGATGAAAGTCAAAAGGACATTTTTTTATCGTTGCGATTCATTCATTTTTCTTCGACTTTAAGCAATTACATAGAGTAAAAAAACTCAATTATTTTTTGTTTGATCTAATTCGACGCAAATATTGAGTCGATACGATATGGATGAAATTCTTGTTTAACCTACGACTAAGCATGTGATCGTACCTTTTAAAATTTAATGTAAAAAATTAGACATGCTTATTTGAAATTTAAAAGAATTAAAAACAATAGAGATTGATTGTATTTTGTCAAGATTTCCGATTTTTCTTCCTCTTCATGTTTGCCGAAGTCATTGTGAAATTTAGTTGGACCAGATTTTACTTTTTATAATTTTTTGTTATGGTCCATGATCCTATTGAATCATGATAAAACAAAACTGATAAATAAGTGAAAATTAAAAATGAAAGTTAAAATAGCATTTAATATGGTTGCAATTCATTCATTTTTCTTCGAATTTAAGCAATTACATAGAGTAAAAAAATTCAATTACTTTTTTGTTTTATCTAATTCGACGCAAATATATCGAGTCAATACGATATGGATGGATTATTGTTTAACCCACGATAAAGCATGCGATCTTACCTTTCAAATTTTATTATAAAAAATTAGACATGCTTATTTGAGGGTTGATACTTGGTTTATCTGTTTCACGTAAAACCCTAATGCGGAAAAACCTCTTCAGAAGGAACCTCTTCCCTAAAATCCACGTCGTAATAATATATCATCTTCGTCATCTCGAAATCCGATTCCCAATCATTATCTCATTCAGGAGCTAAACAACTTTAGATAACCTTTATTTTTTCCTTAACCACACAAATTAATTCTATACAGAGTAAAGTTCAAATAATTATTATAATAGCATTTACCTTAAAATGGACAAAATTGCCCTTTCACCAAATAAGGAAAGCCAATCAAAGTGCGAGGTGGCAACAATGACATAGAGTAAAGTGCAAAATATATTGTGTAGACCAATGCATCTAATTATAGTATTTCTAAAACAAACATGATCTCTTTATTCAGGAAAAAAATTCGAATCCTGCTTCATATTTGCCTTCATCTCCTTCAATCTCGATTAAATCTCAATGAAGGTTTTATTAGTTGAGGCAGTACTCCATCTGCTGCAGATTTCTCAGTAATGCATTGGATGGAGTTATGCGAAAGACAAATAAGATAAATAAGGTGTGGCTAGAAACAGTAATTTAGAACCAAGGCTGGAGAGTATACACCTTGTGTCTACTTCCTTTCTGTTAAAAACATGACCAAACTACACCTATTTTACTTCTAAAGATATTGCAGCCGGATTAACTTAGCAGAATTTGCCAAATATTGTCACACAACTGTCACGGTGAAAATATAGAGCTGCAATTAACACAAACCACTGTCGAAGTCGCCATTCTCTTGCCAAACTCAAACTCAAACCCGTGGGTTTATCCGTGAAAAAAACCGGGGTAAAACCCACTAGGTTTGAAAAACTCAAACTCAACCCAATCCGCTGGGTACCCACGAGTTTTTGTCGTGAAAAAATTACAATAACAAGTTCCTATCAAAATTAAAGTCAAATATCAATCTCTCAATACAAATTATCCATATATAAAACACCATTCTAGAAAATACAAGCAAATCACAAATTAACTATACAAATTGTTCAACACCAATCTAGAAAACTCAAGAAAATTGAAGCAAATAACAAATTATCCATAAATAACATGATTAATTGAAAGCTTCTTCCTTTCAATTAAGTTTCTTCACTCTCCACTCGATAACATCAACTTCATTCTACACAATTCGAAAGAAAAAATTAGATATGTCTCCACAAACATAAATAAGATTAGTTGTTTAGAATATTAAACCTACCGAGATAAATAATTATATAGGTGTGGGCGGGTACCCATGGGTCGGGTTTACCTAAATCCAAACCCAACCCGGTGAATAGTAAACGAGTTTAAACCCAAACCCGACCCAAAACCCGTCAACACAGATTTACCCATGTTGACCGGATTGGGTCGGGTAGGTACCCGTGAGTTTGGGTTTTGTTGCCATCCCTACACTACACATAGACCCTCATTTCCACCCCATCCTCAATCCATTTGTTCAACTTCTAAGGGATATACAAGACTACATTTAGATAACAAACTACACATAGTTAATATGAAAGCCTGCGAAATACATTGTCATTCATGTCTCCACTCCAAGTTCCAGGGGAGCACTTGAACTACAACACCTATTCCTGGATCAACTAAGTAGTAACAAAATAAAGAGAAGAGACAATACATATACGTGCTCTTGTCCTGGATTAACTTGCATCAATCAATAACAAATCGTACTTGTCTCCCTCTATTTAAAGGAGCAGCCAGCCAGACCACCTATACCTGTGGTCTCTTTCTCCCTTTCCAAGGAAGGAATTCATTTACTTCACCTGATCTGGCTTTATATCGAGCTCAAAAAACTTGGCTATCTCTTCCCTATCTTCCTCGTCCAAGGTGTGCATCAGCTCCTTCCTTACTCTTGTGCGACTGTCAATTGCGTCGTTGGTCGGCGGTAACATATCCTCATATTCATCTAGAAAGAGAGAAATATCTGTCATTAGGAACGAAATCCACAAATCTGAATCACCAAAGCGCCCAACATGAGTAGAGAAAAGCCAACTAAATCCTGCCAAGTCCCAACTAATGAACTAAATCAACAAGGTCATCCACACACAATGCCGATATTTGAGCAAGATGATCAGAATAATGAGACATGATTAACAAGGACCACAAAAGAAATAAGTTCAATGCTTTAGAAAAACAACAAATCTAGACAAGGGCCAAAGATGTATGCACCTACATACCCTACCTGATGGACAATGCAGGATATACCATTAGAAAACTGATTCAACATTAGCTTTTGCATCATGGTATTAATGATGCATGCCACTTACCTGTATCGACCAACCATTGCTAGGAAACAAACATAGGGATAAGAAGAGGAATTCCCTCTCACGTACAAGCTCCTTCGTAATGGCACAACTCAGCTGCCACTCAAGAGCAGAACCATTCACGAACATTAACTATTCGCAGAAAGACTTAGTTTTTAACACAACACATCATTTACATTATTAACTCGAGAGCAATGGCTGTATTATAAACTGTATAACCTAACCATTTATGTATGCAGTCTTAAACCATGCATGTAAAACAAATTGTTGATTACCTTGGCCGATTATTTTCCTCCTGAAGATAAAAACTTTATGATGTCCAATTGACAAGCGGGCATTAGTTACCAAGGTCTGGTAAATCTGCTCAGTACTCTCATCAGGCGGTTCGTAGGCACTGAAAGTCACATATAACATCCAGCAGGCATATTGCTCCATAGTCACGTTCCGAATCTCTTTTAACTCCAACCTCTTGCCCTATAGGGGACATATACACGCATTAATAAAGACAAGCACGATCTGGTTTTTCTGGTTAGTGAATTCAGCGTTATAACTACTTCTTTTATCAGTACAATACAAATAATGAAAAGAATTACGTACCTTCACAGTCTCATATTCATTGATGACGAATGTAACAGCAGAGTGAATTGCCTCGTCCATATTCAGAATGTGCCTGTAATGTTCTCGGTGGAAAATGCCTCCGTGACCAGGGTGGGCTGGTCGGCAATCAGCATAGAAACACTGTACACAGGGTCTTAATTGATCAAGAACAATAAAATTCGACCAGAAATTAATAAAAAAACGTGGAGATCCCTACTTTTTAGCATTTTACTTCAAACAAAACAACCACATTGGTCGGCACCCTCCATGACCTCATGAACACTAGCTCAACTACAATGAGCTGTGATAATGCACACACTGACCAGTATCGCGATATACTGAGAACCATAGTATGCTAATGCTAATTATAACTTAAATATGAATTACAACCTGAAGAAATATATAACTAGGTTATAAGCCTAAAACTACTTACACCGGTGACCCACTTCTTCCTCCTATAATGGATAACCCGCAGCTTAACATCTTCGCCCACAAAAACACCGTCTTCGAATATATATTTGGGATCGTCTTCCTTGGGTTTGAAATCCCGCTTTCGATACTTATCAAAGCATTTACTGGATTTTTTACCGTACTTGTTCTCTGGATAATTACCATCAATCTCCCTCGGATCAGGGATCAATATCTCCAGGGCCTCCCTCTCCTCATCCCCCGAGTCAGAGTACAAATCCTGTGATTCCTCGGATTCAGAGAACGTCTCTGCATCAAGAGACTCCTCATCAGATTCAGCGGACTCCTTCTCCAATTTAGGAGATGTCTCTGGATCAAGGGCATTCTCCGATTTAGGGGACATCTCTGGATCACGGGCCACCTCCTCCTTCTCCAATTTAGGAGACATCACTGGATTACGGGAGGCCACCACCTCTTCCTTCTCCGATTCAACCGATATCTTTGGATCAATGTAATGATCCTGGATCTGTCCCGGCGATTGAGATTGAATTAGAGAAGAAGAAAGTGAGATTTAGAGAAGAAAAAGGAAAGATTGGAAGCAGAATGATAGGGAGAAGGAAGAACGAATAGAGGAGAGGAAGAAGAAGAGAAGAGGCAAGTTGGTTCTGTTATTCGATAGTTCCCTTTACAGAGCTTACTCCCTCTTTTATGTGACCACCTAATTACAAACTAATACCCCAATTAAATCCTATTACAACTAAACCCTCATTCATTACAATCCCGACCTCTTGAGGACAGACTTGTCCTCAAGTCTGAAAACCAAATCCAGCACTAAAATAACAAGGAAATGAGCTAAACAAGGTAAGGAAAACAAAACAAAATGAGTTGCAGCAACAGGGCACTTGCAGGTAGCAGCAGTATGCTTCTAAAGGCTTGAGACTTGGAGTTGAAGACATGTTGGGTCAGCCCACCCCTACTGTGGGTATCTTCCTTCCTCCAACTTCCCTTGCCAAATCATCCTTGTATGGTTCCTTGAAGTTGAAGCAAACAACCCTTCTTTCCAGTTTCACTCTAGGCCACCAATACCATTGAACTTTTGGTAAAACACAATCTCCTTCACCAGTAACCAAAATCCCATTATGATTCCTGAAAACAAAGTCAGACCTGTTAGGAAATGATGCTCCAATGAAAAATTTAATGCCATCAACATCTTGGGTATTCATCATAGACCCCAAGTCATAAGCATCACCATGAACTAATTGGTGTTGCTGAAAACACAACCGACTCTTCACCACTCTAGGTGGAACACCACTCAAGGCTGAATCCTCCACCACATCAACAGCCTGAGGTTCAATAATACCAATCATTTCACTCGAAATAACCATGGCCGGAGTAGGAAAAGAGGTCCTAACATACTGTGTTGGCTTCACTGACTGCTCGTACACTAGCTCTCGCAGTTTGCATTGCTTTAGGGATGGCTGCACCGAATCGGTGTTGAGATCTACATGTACTGGAAAGTCCAGCTGAAGTTGCAGCTCATGGTTAACTATGATCTTAACCATCTTCCTTTTATTATACTCAGCATCATCAATAACAATTTTATCCAGCCCAGCAAACTCAGTTACTATTGTTCCTTCCTTGGTGTCCAGTTCCAAACCATTCTCAAGATCACAGTGGTGCTCGGGCTGACCAGCAGTAGGAAGAGAAACTGTTGATGGAATGCAAGAAGACTCTCCTAACCCTGCTTTGACTTGCAGTAAAGTGCCCTCGCTGCTGGTCGTAATAATTCTAGTATCAACAACTAAGTCACCGTTCGCAGTATTCCTCTCTTGGGCTGAAACAGGGTGAATCGATATATTTCTCTCTACACCCATCACACTCGGAAGAGAAAATGGTTTGGCTTCTTTATCAGATTCAGAATATTTTCCCTGTCTGTCCTCATCCTCATCAACATCTGCTTCATTACTTAAGCTTTCAGCGAGACATAGACCTTCTTCACTGAGATCCAACAACTCATTATGCTCGCTACCATTCTCTTCAAAGTCATTGCCATTGGCTGTCGCAGCCATTAAGTTGGTATTGATATGCTTCACCGCACCAGCACAGATGATCTTCCCACTAAATGTACTACTACTTCCCGTTGCCACAACTAAGATAGCATTCTCAGCATTCTCTTCTAAGACCAGAATAAGGGCAGTCGATACATCTCCATCGAGACTCCTCAAACACATTTCGAATTGAGCTTGATGATAAGCTTGAGCTAATGTTTGGGGCTGCAACATTTTAACTATGGGTCTCAATTCCTCCTGCAACCCACTGATGAAACTGGAGATGAAAAACTCTTCTGTTAATGCTGGGTTATATCGTAACATATGCGACTTCAAGTCCTCAAAGTTTTCATGATATTCAATTAAAGATCCCCTTTGTCGCAACCTCTTGAACTCACCCACAATTCCACCTGACTCCCAATCACTAAACCTACTACACAGGGAAATTGCAAACTCTCCCCAAACCAGCTCCTTACGGCAAGATTTCAACCCCTCAAACCATATCGCTGGACGGTGGTCAAAGTAACTTGCCGCCATCATAACTCGATGTTCCTCCGGAATGCCATACTTCGCGAACACCCTTGCACACTTCCTTACCCATTCCCGTGAATTATTACCATAGAAGAGAGGAATACCTGAGGCAAATTCCGGCTCAGCAATTTGTCGAACAGGTGGAACGCGCTGTAGGTGGACATCAACTCTCGTTCGTCGCTGCTCTGCAGCCTCACTCCGGTGGCAGAATGCTGTCAAGTGCGCCAAGATTGTTTTGTTCTGGCGGCTTAGCTCCTCCATTCGAGCGTCACAATCCGCCCAATTCGTTTGCCGAGGAACCCCACCGACGAACCGTTCTTCCATGGAAAACATACCCGTCGTCAGTGCCGAGAAGAGGCTCTGATACCAATTTGTAATGATCCTGGATCTGTCCCGGCGATTGAGATTGAATTAGAGAAGAAGAAAGTGAGATTTAGAGAAGAAGAGGGAAAGATTGGAAGCAGAATGATAGGGAGAAGGAAGAACGAACAGAGGAGAGGAAGAAGAAGATAAGAGGCAAGTTGGTTCTGTTATTCGATAGTTCCCTTTACAGAGCTTACTCCCTCTTTTATATGACCACCTAATTACAAACTAATACCCCAATTAAATCCTATTACAACTAAACCCTCATTCATTACAATCAAGGACATCCTTTTCCGATTTAGCCGACATCTCTAGATCACAGGCCACCACCTCCCCCTTCTACAATTTACTTACAAGATATCTCTGGATCCAGGGCATTCTCAGATTTAAAGGACATCTCTGGATCACGGGCCACCTCCTCCTTCTCTAATTTACAAGATATCTCTGGATCAAGGGCATTCTCCGATTTAAACGACATCTCTGGATCACGGGCCACCTCCTCCTTCTCCCATTTAGGAGATATTTGGGCCTAGAATGTTCTAGGCGGTTATGGGGCTCCGATCTGGACTCCTTCGTCTGATCTCCTCGAGAGGGGAAGAACCTGTGAGGCGGGGGGCGGCCCTCGGGATCTACGCTCCGACGCCCAAGTTAGTACAATATAGTATGCGGTTTATGGTATGTAGAGAGAGAGAGAGAGAGAGTTTAGAGAGAGACCTTAGGGTAAGAGTGAGGGAAGGGAAGAAGCAGATCCTTTGGCTTGGAGGCTTTGGCCTCCTTATATAGAGCTTGGGCCTCCTTAAGTGGGCTTGGGCCCGGGACGCCTCGCGGTGGGCTTGGGCCCGTTTATAGTCGTGTAGACATATTAATCCATATCCCAACAATTGCCCCTTTATTTCTTGGATTCTGTAAGAATGGAAGGAGTAACATAATGCGTTAATCGTGTATTAATTTGCCTTACTTACGAATCCGGATGATGCGGTTTGCCCTTTGTGCGATTTGCGTGATCATTTCCTTTGCCCCTTGCTTGGCTTTCGATGTCTTGAACCAAAGCTCTCAAGTGGTTAAGAGTTCCTTCGCTAGTCCATTGTTGTTACTGCTAGTAGACCATAATTGCGACCTAGGTAGGGTGGCCCCCACGGCTTGAGAGTTTTAACTCAAGACGCTCTTGTTTCGCGTCTCACCAATGTCGCGTCCATGTTGTCAGGAAGTCATGTGTCTTGTTAATGTCTTACTTGCGTGAAGCAAGATCAACTATTCTCTTATAGGAAGCTTAGTACTTCGCCTTTTGAGAAGCGCATAAGTCTTTCGGTTTTCTGGAAAGCTTAGAGCTTCTTCGGCTTCCTGGGTTGCGCTTCTCCTACGCTTCCAGGGAAGTGCATCGCTCCCTCGGGAAGCGCATCGCAACCCTTCGCCGGAGTAGAGCAGGAGCGAGAGTGAAATGGACCTCGGGAGAGCAATCTGAACCCAACCGCTGACGCCGTCATGATCCATAATGAACAAGAAAGCTCTTAAATTGGTTGGACTGAGTCGATTACACCTAATTCGCAACATCCTGATCGAGCAGACTTGAGTCTAAATAGTTCAAAAATCAAGTCTAACTAGTTGAACAAAAATCAAAATAGGAGAAATAATATTAGATTATGCAAGAAATAATCGGATATGAATATGGTCCAGATATATAATTAATCAAACTTGATTTCACTCATAAAAAAGTTTGATTTGGACAATTCCCAAATATTGGGTACACTTTGCCATCCCTAGAAATGGTTGTATGTACTAGGTTGTCTTGCAGGAATAACGCCAACCACGTCTAGCTAGCATTGTCGGCTTAGCAGAACAAGTGTTGTCCTGGCACTTTGAAACATCAACACCTATTACAACATCAATCAATTATACTGATCATAGTTGTCTCCGTCTAGTCCAAAGAGAGCGGGGCCAGACCTGTAGCTTTGGTCTGTTTCTCCCTCTTCACCTCTGGCTTTTTTTCTCGAGCTCAAATACTTGTCTATCTTCCTCGTCCAAGCTGGACATCAACTCTTTCTTTACCCTTGTGCGCTCCTCGGTAAGCTCGTCAGAAGGTGGTAACAAATCCACATACTCGTCTTAAAAAGAAAGAAGTATCTTCCATTAGAAAACAATTTGTTCAACTTCTATGCAAAAATATGATCACATTGGATTTGCGAATAAAGGAACAAACAAACAAATCTAAATCACCAAGCGACCAACATGTAAAGAAATATATTGATACTAAGACGAATAAGACATGATTAACAAGGATCTCAAAGAGAGGCATGCGTGAACACCAACTATATATGTTCATCAGGAAACCCTAACCATTTAAGTATATGCACTGATGAATTGTGAAAAACAAACTGTTGATTACCTTCACCGATAATTTTCCTCCTTAGGATTGCAACTTCATGTTTTCCCCCCCTGAAGAAATAGGCCACCAGGGTCTGGTAAATCTGGACTTCATCAGAAGAGCACTGTTCGCAGCCGGTAAAAGTCACATAGAACCACCAACAGGCATATCGCTCCATGGTCGTGTTCAGAATGTCTTTTAAAATCAAGCCCTGGCCCTGTAGTGAACATATGCACATGCATTAGGAAGGGCAAGCATGCTCTGGTTTTTCAGGTTAGTGAATTCAGTAATAGAAGGAACTATTACTTTTAACAGTACACTAATGGTAACAATTACCTTGAGCTTTTTATATTGCTTGATGACGAATCTAACAGAAGACCGGATCATGTCGTCTAAATTCAGAACTTCCCAGTGATGTTCTTGGTGGTAAATGCCTCCGTATCTAGTGTATGCTGGCTGGCAATCCGCATAAAATCCCTGCGAGTAAGAAACATTGCAAAACCGCCTATAAAAATTAATGGAAGAAACAAAGGCATTCCCCTGGACGCAGACCCAATGAGCACGAACCCAATTAACAAAATCGAGAACCCTAGCTTGCTAATTAGAATTTGAATAATAATTAGTGGAGATATATATAATAATTAGGTTACAAGGTTGGAACTTCTTACACCGGTGATCCACTTCTTCCTCCTGTGATGGACGACCCGCAGCTTAAGTTGTTCGTCGCCCTCAAAATCGTCCTTATCATATAAATAATTGCAATCGTCGTCCTTGGGTTTGAACTCCCGCTCTCGAAGCTTTTGGCAGCATTGACAGAATCTCTTCCCGTATTTGTTCTCTGGATAACTATCAATACCCTCCGGCGGTCCTAAATATATCTTTGGCTTAATGGTCTCCTGCTCCGATTCGGCCTCCTCTTCCAATCCCTCCGACGACTCCCCCTCCGATTCGCCTTCCTCCGACGATCCCTCCTCCTCTTCCGATCCCTCCGACATCGCCTTAAGCTGGTGATGGACTATAACCCTATCGCAAGCGTCAGGATCCATGAAATCGACCACCGGCTGTTCGGGTACAGATCCAGACGAGTTGGCGTATAGGGATACGGAGGAGTAAGTCTCTCACAACTTTATCACTGAGTACAAAATGATTACTAAATTTTAATTTTACATGTGTTAATAAAATACATTTGGACTAATAACGAAGTGGTCAATCCGTCCACTTTCACTCAAAAATTCTTTAATTGAATCCAATCAGCATGCCACGTTAAAAAAAAATAATAATAAACAATTCAATAAATCAACCAACTAAGAAGATAAGAATTAAGAATCAATTAAGGAAACTAGGGAAAATAAAGTGATTTCAATTCACAATTCTTAGATCTGAATTTCTGGGCCTACTTAAAAAGGAAGGTCCTAGGGATGGCAATGGGTCGGGTTAGGTCGGGTTTTGCCAAACCCAAACTCATGGGTTTATCCATCAAGAAAACCCGGGGTAAAACCCAATGGGGTTGGAAAACTCAAACCCAACCCAACCCGCTGGATATCAGCGGACTCATGGGTACCCATGAGTTTTTGTGGTAAAAAATTTACAATGACAAGTTCCTATCAAAATAAAAGTCAAACATCAATTTCTTCATAGAAATTATCCATACATAAAACACGAGTCTAGACAATTCAAACAAATTACGAATTATCCATATAAATTATAAATTAAATTGGGAGAAATTAGAATTATGGTAGGATTTGGAGAGTAGGGGACGGAGTAAGTGTGGGTGGCTACCCATGGGTCGGGTATCCCTAAACCCAAACCCAACCCAACCCAACTCGGTGAAAGTATAACAGGTTTAAAGCCAAATCCGACCCAAAACCCGTCAACACAGGATTTACCCGCATTGATCGGGTTGGGTCGGGTAGGGTATCCGTGGGTTCGGGTTTTGTTGCCATCCCTAGATGGTCCAGATGTAATTACCCATGGGTGAGTAACCAATGGTTACTGACCTAATCTTTGACCGATTTAGGGTTTTAGCTCTCTATATAAGGAGGACGAGGAAACAATTTCTAAACACAACATTAATTAAAATAAATTTCTAAACTAAAGCACTTGTATTTTTTCCAAAATACCTAAGTTTGGGTTGGTTCGAGTTAGAGTGACTCGAACCACCAATGGGATCAATCCAGACTGAGTCAGACTAACTCAATACAGATCTAGTCAGACAAACTCCACTATGTTGAAATTTTCAATGACCTTAACTTTGTGCTCGATTATTCGATCGTAGTGATTTTTTTTATTCCGCATAACTTTTTTAGGAGTACAAGTAATTTTATAGAATTATTTTTAGAAGGTATGTGAAAATATATAAATTAAAGCTAAATTTATTCCCAAAATCCCTTATATCCAAAAATATATCCAAAAGTATAATTAATCAAACTTGATTTGAATCATAAAAAGTTGGTTTGGACTTTGGACAATATCATATATTGGATCCACTTTGCCATCACTAGAAGTTGTTGTACTCCGTTGTCTTGCAGGAATGAAGCCAACCACATGTCCACATCAACCATCATCGGCTGAACAAGTGTTGTCCTAGCACTTTGAAACATCAACGCCTGTTATCTTCCGATCAGCGCTCTCGCAAGTCGCAACCACTCCACTCTAGTTTTCAGCCACAACATCAATCAAGTATACTGATCATAGTTGTCTTCGTCTAGTTCAAAGAGAGCGGGGCCAGACCTGTAGCTTTGGACTCTTTCTCCCTCTTCATCAGGGCATTTACTTCACCATCTTTGGCTTTTTCCTCGAGCTCAAATACTTGTCTATCTTCCTCGTCCAAGGTGGACACTAGCTCTTTCTTTACCCTTGTGCGCTTCTCAGTAAGCTCGCCGGAAGGCTGTAACAAATCCACATACTCGTCTAGAAAGAGAGAAGTATCTTCCATTAGGAAACGATCTGTTCAACTTCTAAGGAAAAATATGATCACATTGGATTCAGCGAATAAACGAACAAATAAGCAAAGCTAAACATTTTGATGATCAGAAGATCAATGAGACATGATTAACAAGGATTGCAAAAGTACTTTGCTGTAAAAACCAGCAGGGCCAAGGATGTATATGCACATACGTAGCCTACATAATAATGGACAATGTCACCAAACTGTTTCAACACAAACTCTTGCATAAGGGTATTAATGACATGCCACTTCACTGTATTGATCAACCATGCCATGAAACAAATATCGAGAGAAGAAGAGGAACTCCCCCTTAATTATGCACAAGCTTATTCACCATGGCATAACTCTTCCACTCAAAGACAGAGACATGCATGGACTCGAACTATATATGTTCGACGGGAAGGTTTTGATCAGTTCTTAACAGAACACATCATTCACATAATTAACTCGAGAGCAATCGTTGTACTATAAACTGCATGCATATACCTCGATAACCAAACCATTTAAGCATGCACTGATGAAAACAAACTGTTGATTACCTTCACCGATAATTTTCCTCCTGAGGATTGCAACTTTATGTTCTCCCCGATCGACGAGATGAAATAATAGGCCACCAGGGTCTGGTAAATCTGGACTTCATCAGAAGAGGACTGTTCGCAGGCGGTAAATGTCACATATATAGAACCGCCAACAAGCATATTGCTCCATGGTCGTGTTCAGAATGTCTTTTAAAATCAAGCTCTCGCCCTGGGCAAGTGGGCAAGCATGCTCTGGTTTTTCCGGTTAGTGAATCCAGTAATAGATTAACAAACTATTCTTTTTAACAGTACATTAACCATAGCAATTACCTTCAGCTTTTTATATTGCTTGATGACAAATCTAACAGGAGCGGATCATCTCGTCTAAATTCCAAATTTCCCAGTGATGTTCTCGGTCGGTGGTAAATGCCTCCGTAGCTAATGAAGTATGGTTGGCAATCAGCGATTTTAAAATCCCTGCGTGTATGTGGTTAATGGATTAAGAACAAGAAGAAAGATCAAATTTGATTGATCGAGAACCTTAGCTTGCTAGTTAGAATTTGAATAATAATTAGTAGAAATAACTTATAAGGTTGGAACTAGTTACACCGGTGATCCACTTCTTCCTCCTGTGATGTATGACCCGCAGCTTAGCTTAAGTTGTTCGTCGCCATCAAAATCGTCCTTGTCTTGTAAATAATTGCAATCGTCGTCCTTGGGTTTGAACTGCCGCTCTCGAAGCTTTTGGCAGCATTTACAGGATATCTTCCCGTATTTGTTATCTGGATAATTATCGACACCCTCCCGCGATTCAAAAGATAGCTCTGGCTTAATGGTCTCCTCCTCCGATCCCTCCGACGACTCCTCCTCCGATTCGGCCTCCTCTTCCGATCCCTCCGACAACTCCTCCTCGGATTCCTCCTCCTCCGATTCAGGGAACGTAAGGGCCTGCTCCTCCGGTTTAGGGGAGTTGTCTGGATCAGCGACCATCGCCTTGAGCTGGTGATGGATTATAAGCCTATCGGAAGTGTCAGGATCCATGAGATCGACCACCGGCGGTTGGGGTTCAGATGCAGATGACTTGGGCGTATCAGGAATGTGGAGGAGTTAAGGGCTAATACACCCTATTACATTATCAAATTTCATACATCAAGTGGTCATTACATCTACTTTCGTCTAAAAATTCTTTATTAACTCAGCCCAACCAATATGCCATGTAAAAAATCAATTAATTAAACCCAACAGACCAACACTCAACCCACCCAATCCGAAGACTACGTTCTCCTTCATCATAGCTAGAGTTATAATAGTAAATGTCATATTACTTTTTAACAAGTAATAAAAAATCATAAATATATTGCTTGCTAGATTTGAACCTTGATTGTTTTAAACAAAGACAATGGTTTGTAACCAATCATACTACATTGATTTGTTGTATCTTTGTCAATTAAAAACATACATGAAGGTAAAACCGAAAATCACATAACTTTCCAATGGTTAGCGAGCCAAGTAAAATTCCGATAAGTACTTATTGATGTTCGATACTTAAATTTTTATATTGCGATTATTTTTATTTTATTTTAATATTTAATATTTAATTTCTATATATCTTATAAATAAGGATAACTTTAAAATCACAACTCAAATATCAATGGTTCGAATATTGCATATCAAAATTCAGTAATGAATGTGCATAATTCTTAAATTAGTATTAATTTTTTAGAACTACTATGAAGCAATCATATTTATATCTTTGTGTGATCTATATGAGACAGGTCCTTTGAACGTTTTAGCTAGGCTAACCGCTAAGTTTTAAACCCCTTTCTAATCCGGCATGATTGGATCCAACAATCATTAGACGAGGTTAAGTTTCCAATTATCTATGGGTTGTTCGAGAATTCCAGTATTCTTTTATACTCTATCTCTCATGACAATCAATTAACCAATAGCATTTTAACGGGGCTGAATTATCATTATGAAATGGTATTAAGTATACATTTTGGTAGGGGTGTAAGTTTGACTCTTAAAACCCACTAACCCGACCCGACCCGTCCTGACCCGCCCCGATCCTCAGGGTCGAGCTGTGTCAGTTTGTCTACAGGGTCAATTTAGGGTCGGGTCAGCTTAGGGTCGAGTCAGGGTCAGATAGGGTTGGGTCAATTTAGGGTCGGGTCACTTTTTGACCCTATGACCCTTAGCATCATACAAACACGTTGGATCTATTTGTAAAATTTTAAAAGTTTAGGTACTAAATTGTAAAAATTAAAAAATTTGGGTACCAAAACGTAATTTTACCATTAAATTTGAGGGACTTATTTGTAAAAAAATAAAATTTAGGTACTAAAATGTAAGAAAAATAAATTCGGGTACCAAATTGTAATTTTTAGAAAAGTAGTCTATTTATTAGGGTCGACCCACTGACCCGACCCTTCCTGACCCGACCCGACCCTAAAGGGTCAGACAGGGTCATAAAAGAAATAGGGTCGGGGCGGGTTAGTTATACATCTTGACCCTTCAGGGGCGGGTCAGACAGGGCCAGAACAGGGTCAGGGGCGGGTCAGGCCAATTTTCAGCCCTACATTTTTGCTAAATTACATGTTTGGTCACTCAAATTACGTAAATCTTTCATGTTTACCACTTGAATTACTTTTCTTTCTTATTCGCCACTAACTTTATGAATCCTTTCACCGGCACCACCCGTCGTTAGTCTCCGTCAAAGTTTGTTAACTCCGTCAGTTATTTGATGACATGACAAACGGGAATGCTGACTGGACCATTAATTTATGACATGTACATTTAAAAAAATGAAAACTAATAATAATAAAAAATTAACAAGAAGGGAAAGATTTGCTCCGGGCAACACTGTCCGTTCGACTTGCTCTCGCCTCCACTACTCAGGCGGTGGAGGAGGAGGAGAAGAACTGTAGAAAGATGGGGAAACTGGCGGCGCTGAAAGCAGAACCAACGCTGAAGCTACCGCCTGCAACAACAAGATCGCATCTCGAATCCCTGATTCCCACATTTGGAGAACGCGGATTCGAAAGCGAAGGAATCCAGATCCAGATCCAGATTTCACATTTTTCGTAGCAATCGGTCTCAAGGTCGCAACTGGAGCCGAAATTTCCGCAGAACTATTTGTCGAACGCCATCGTGGGGCTTGCTATCATCCTGAAGGAGGGGGACTTATTGTCGTCGCTGGATCATGTGTTGGTGGAGGTTAACAGAGTGGTGGCCGACCAGACGGACGGGAAGTTGAAGGAAGACTTGTGGTCTTGGATTGAGAGTACCAAGATTCCAACGACGGCCGGGTTCTCCTTGGCGGGGGCATCTGGGCTAAGTAGTTCGCCTAGGTTTGATGTTTACGGGAATGATTTCAGGTAGTGGAGGCAGGAGCAAATTGGAAGGGAAGGTTACGGTGTTGCCCGGAGCAAATCTTTCCTTCTTGGTAATTTTTTTATTAATTTTTATATTTTTTATTGACATGTCATTAAGTTAATTGTCCAGTCAGAAGTGTTGCCACGTCATCAAAATTTTTATGTAATTTGAGTGACCAAACATGTAATTTTAGCCTATACATTTTTATATTTTATATATTTAAATGATGATGAAATTTCTTCAAATATTCGACCTATACATTCATTCTTTGTATATCATCTCGATCGAATGATTGCCAATAAATTAAAAGGATTGATAAACTTAAACATAACATGAAATATAAATACTGAAATACAAATATTTCGTGTAATTGGCCGAGTTATAAGTTAGTTTGATATTAGGCCACAGCCGAGTGATTATCTCATTCTCAAGCGAGATTCATCTCTGACTCTCTTCCCTGTTCCCTCTCTCTATTCTTCTCCGTCGTCCCATCTATTGCAACTCTACAACCCTACTCTAATTCCCTTCTCCCTTTCGCCCGTTTCTCTTCTTTCTTAAGCCGCTTCAATTCCATTCCCACAACTATTTTACAGGTAAAAAAATCAGAGTTTTTTTTAATAATATCCATTTTGATATTATATGGAGCACAACTTTTTCACGCTATTACACCACTGTCACCATCGTCATATGACAGTGGTATGATAGTGATATAATGTTGATATGATAGTGATGTGATAATGATATGATGTTGGTATGAGTTCTTATGTTCGACAAAATAATTTGATGACATTATATCTGATGCGGTTAATTAAACCGTTTGAGTCATGGGCCTCTTTGGGCCTTGTCTGAGTCGTGGTAGCCTGGTAGGTTCATATACTTGGTCATACTCGACTCTTCTCATTAGGGTTTTAACCCTAAGCCTGTAAGAGCATCTCCATCAATGCAATTGCAAAAGAAATTGCATTTGTGTTTTTAATTGTCCACTCAAATTTTTTGCAATCCACATCACATTCATTTCATTCACCTACATCAATGCAATTAACTTGCAATTGCAAATGTAATTAAATATTATATTTAAATTATAGAAAATTAAGTAAAAGAGAAAAGAAAATAATATAAAATAAAACAAAAAAAATCTCCATTTTTTAAGGCTTTTTTTACTTGCATATGGAATTGCATTTGTTGCAAGCTTGCAAATATGCAATTGGTAGCCACATCAATGCAATTGGTTTTGCAATTGCAAACACCTATGTCATGTCATTTTGCAATTGAGTATGCAGTACCAATATGAATGCTCTAAAGCCTACCACAAAGTTTATAAAAAAAACCTACCGCAAAGTGTTGTGGAAACCGACGGTAGGAAAAGGGTTAAATAATTAGAGTCATTTTCTTACACTTACTAATACTAATTCTTTTTCTGTCTAAATATTGTTTTCGCGTGAATTGCAAGTTTGGTCATTCATATTACACGTTCACTTTTCCGGTAAACTAGTCACCGACATTATACATTTATGTCATCTTTGATTACTCTCTGTCCAACTTCGTTATCTTTGTTCTAAGTGGAAGTCAACTATAAAGTTTGACTGTTAAATAATGATGTGGCAATTAAAAAAATTTAATTTTCCAGCTGACTATCATCATTTAACGGTGATGGCGACGGTGGGTAGGGAGAGATTGCAGACTAGTGGTGATAGTCAGCTGGAAAATTAAAGAAAAACTAATTGCCACATCATCATTTAACGATCAAACTTTATAGTTGACTGTTACCTATAAAGTTTCGGTGGCTAATTTAAAGGAAAGTGATCAAGGATGACATAAATGTGTAATTTCGGTGGCTAATTTAAAGGAAAAGTGATTCGAGTGGCAAACGTGAAACAAACGTATAATATGAGTGACCAAACTTTTTTTCCCGTTGAATCAAGTGTGAATTTTAAAATATTAGCCAAATCTTTGATAATATGAAATATCAGCCACACATTTTATAACGTATAAAATTATAGTCATCTTTTATCAAAATTAACGTTAGCCTTAACAGAATTAAGCGTAAACTAATCGTCAATCCAAAAGTAAGGTTCTAACGGGAGGGGTTATGGTGGACACCTAGTCTTAATAGCCACGCTGGTTACTAGGGATAAAAAGAGTATTTTGCATCCTCCTTAATATCAACTATCATTTTAATAAGACAATCAATTAGGGAAAGAGGAGAGATAATTACGAAAGCTAATATATGGAGATTTTGAGCATTTCAAATTCCTTGCACTCTCCTTAATTGTAGCTAGGGGTAAATTTGTAAGTTCAACTTAGAACTTAAATATCTTCTTACGAGAAAAAAATGTCATTACCAAGACTTGAACTCGAGTCCTTCAGATTGATAGTCAATATCCCTAACCAACTACACTACAACAATGTTTATGTATTTCTTGAATTAAAGAGAGAAAATACTGAAATATCTCAAAATCATAGGACTATCCACCGCAACAATCAATCATCGAATTAATTAATAGCTGTAATTTACAAAGTGAATCATCATGATATACCTAGCTTTATGAATCAACTAAGTGAGTTCCTCTAATCACACATTTCTTCACCAAGAATCAAATAGTACATTTTGAGTTTATGTATGTCTTACAACTTTTACATTTATTAGGTTACATGACTTTGTAGTTTGCAGGAATACAAGGATTGTTTACAAAAGTGCTATACAAAATTTTATTTCAAAACATAAAATTTGACATTTGTGATCTATGGTTTTGCAACGAGACATTTTCAATGCTATAAGTGAATGACCAAAAATCATTGGCTAACAATTTCCCTAATGGTTGAGAATTATGAGCATAGAATTGAAAGACTAAATACCATTGACAAATGAGCCACTAGACCATAGATTAATCACGTAACTAAATTCTATATCATAATTCTCTAAATCCTAATATAGTGCATATGGTATGTTGTATACATCTTGGTGAATCAGAATCATTGCATATGTTCTTAGTATATGTGATATTAGGGTTTAAGTTCTATAGGTTTAGGGTATATGATTTAATTATTGGAAACTTAATCTCACTTTTCAAATTTCCTGCAATGAGAGCGAAATTAGGAAGGACATTTTTGTCTTTCACAATTATCTGTATTTTATATTTATTTACAGAAAAAGATAATAGACATATTGAGATTTGAACCATGGTCACTTCAAACAAAGTAAAGTTTTAAAATCAATCAGACTATGTAGATTTGTTGTATTTTTTTAAATTAAAAATATATACGAAGCTAAAATATGAAATCATAAAACTTTTCAACAGTTAGCTAGCCCAATAATATTCTGTAAGTACTTATTTGGTGTTTTGATACTTCAATTTTGATATTTTTATTTTAATTATAGCTTAATACTTAATTCAAAATTTTATCTATATTATAAATAGACGATAACCATAAATTTGCAACCAAAATATTGTTGGTTCGAATATTTCATATCAAATTATAGTATTGAATATGTAGAAGCGATATAGAATTCTTAAATTATCATTAATTTTCAGAACTATAGAGAAACAATCATATCTTTGTGCAAACTATAGGGGACTGGTTCTCTGAACATTTTTGTCCGGTTAAATACTAAGTTTGAAACTCTTAGAGAAACAATCATATCTTTGTGCAAACTATAGGGGACTGGTTCTCTGAACATTTTTGTCCGGTTAAATACTAAGTTTGAAACTCTTCCTAGGGGTGTGCGTGGGTCAGTTCGTTTGGGTTTAGATATTTTAATCACCTAAATCATATACCACGATTTTGAAAACACTAAATACAAACTCGCTTAACTAAGGACGATCTCATTGTCCAATCCCATCATTCTAATGTCAATCCATAAAAGTAACCCATATTTGCGTTTGTTAACACGTGTTTTACATTGTCATTACTATGACCGGTAACTTCGCTGCAACTGATTCGGTATTGCTCATCATATGGCCTCCAAACTGATAAACATATGGGGCCAGCAGTTTTATTACAAAACTCAAAGTGAAGACAACTCATCGTCTGGTGGAATTTTTGCGCTTGCTGGTGTCCATTAATCTAATTGCAAGCATAATTATTGCTAAAATTAAGCTTTCACGCAACACACTGGGAGTTGGGGGCGTGTACTTGGAGTAAAAGTTGATATTGGGGTTGGGAAGGAATTAAGGGAAGTGGTGAGGGGAAGAAATTGTGTTTGGATATGGTAGCAGGTAAAGTTCATGGTTCGGTTTCTTTTCGTAAAATGCTTTGATTTATTTTAGTTAGAGCTATAATATCATGGTTATGTGGAATCAAATGAACCAAAAATGAGCTTTGGGAATGAGAATTCCAACTTAGAAGGAGTGGATTAGATTTTGATAAACTCAAGTTCATGATTAACTGAAAGAATATTTAGATTTAGACTTTGTGGTATTGAGATGTTCATAGAGAGTCTAAACCTGATCCAAGGCCATGGATTGATATTGGTTAGTTGATTGTGATTTTGAGGAAGGTGTATAAAAAGTCATGGAAGTAGTTTGCAGCAAGTGAAGGCAGTGAAGAGGCAGTTGGTCAGAGTAGTGATTTAACCAATGAGGGTATTGAAAGACATAGAAGCATAATCGGAGCAGTTGAAGAGAGAGAAGTGGTAGATGATCAGGATATTAATGAAAATGGAGAGGGTATTGAAAGGGCATGGAAGTGAACTGGATCAGGTGAAGGTAGAGAAGGAGGAGAAGAGCATATTGATGGAATTGAAGATGAGTGTTGGTTTTACGAGCTTATTAAAACTGCCGCGAGGAGGATGAGTTGGCCAAATACAAGAAAGAGGATTGAGGAGTTGGAGATCAAACTGACAAGAAACTCAATTGAAAGAGAAATTATGGTCCATGGAGAGAAGGTCCATCAAAGTAGCATAAATGGAGTTGCAGAAGGAGGATTAGAAATTGAATTTTGGTTTAAAACATATATGTCGAGAGATTGAAGATGGAGGGGATAAAAAGTTGTTTGTGCAACGGAGAGTGGAAACTATTGGATCTTTAGGTGTTATGGTTGTTGCAACTACTACAACCTATGTTTATGTTAAAACGAGGAATCATTGATTGATTTACTAAAGTTAATGTCGATTCACTATTCAAACTACTAGAACATGTAGATAAGGAGTGTGTAATTTTGTGCCTCATTACTTTGATCAAGTCTATTAGTATATTGGATGTAATTCTAATTTTGTCATTTGCTTTCAAGTTTTGATGGTTTCATTTTAGTTGAGTTGTTAGCATATGATTTACTTGAATCAACAACTCTTCAATTTTTTTTATAAATCCATTTCCTTTTTATTAGTGGCATGTTATTCATAGAGGAAAGCTTTGAACCATTTATGTGGAATTGTGAGGTTTCATTTCACTTTCAAACTATCTATGGATCGTGTGAGAATTCCAATGAGCTTTTATATTATATATTTCTGGACAATCTATTAACCAATATCATTTTAATGGGGGCTCAATTATCATTATGAAAATGAGATTAATGATACATTTTTATATTCTTAAACGAGGATGGTATTTTCCTGAATATTCGACCTATATATTTATTCTTTATGTAAAATCTCGATTGAATGATTTTCAATAAACTTAAAACAAATTAATAGACTTAAACATAACATAAAAATATAAATATTAAAATATGAACATTCCGGCCAACGGACTGGATTATAAGCTAGTAAATAAAAGATGATCGTCCCTTCAGGCTATTCCCAAAAACAAAACCCTAAAAAGATCGAGTCGGCGAATCGTGATCAGTACGCTCGCTCGCTCGCTTGTGCGATCTTCCATCCACTGGTCGTCAATCGATCCGATGCCGTCGTCTTCCAAGTCCACCGCCAGGAAGAAAAAAATTTACCAGGATGAGGATGATGACGTTGGAGTTCGGTTGCGGTACTACGCCGGCAGCCGGTGCAAATGCTGCCTAGAGCTTAACAGCAGGGAGATCAAGCCACAGCCCGACGACGACGACTTTATAACGCCCTCCGACGATTTTGGGGGCGATGAATTTCTGAAGCTTCACGTCGTCCACTACCGGCGAAAGATTTGGGAGACCGGGGTATACGTAACGTAAACTAGTTTCTTTTTTTTTTAATTTGAAATCAATTCTCAATTAGTTCGTTGTTGATCAATTGAGTAATATTGTTCTTATCGATTGATCGATCGAGCAGTGTTGGGACATTGATTGCCCGCCGAGATACGGCGGCATCGGCGGACAAGCTTACCCCGGAAAGCATCTCTACGGCGACGATATGAAGACGGACGAGCTGCTTATCGACATGGCTCAACACGTCGTCGATACATATAACAAGGAGAAGGTAATTAAGCTTACCAATAGAATTCACGATTAACAATTATTCTTGCCCACCATTGATTTGAATTTTGAACTGAACTAATTGACTCGTTGATTTGGGGCTCTGACTAGTGTTTAAAGCACACCTATGCAGTGCCTAAGAGCGTTTTAGTGAAATAGTATTGATTTGATCTCAACTAGTTAGCTCATTGATTTGAGGTTCTGACCTAGTGTTTAGCACACCTATATATAAGCATTTTAGTGAAATAGTTATTTACAATAATAATCACAGTTTTGTATAAATTTTTTTCTAGTTCCATTTCGAATGATTAGTAACTTAACTATTCTTCAACAACAGGCAAAATACGCCATGATTTTCAAAAATCATAACTTTATAGAAGTGGTGGCTTTGTAGATGGTCTGTAGTGGACAATGGTGAAGATCAGAACAAATGGTCTGAGTTGAGTATATAGGGTAGCAGAAGATGTCCTCGTTTTGGAAATTTACTACAAAATTTATATATTTGTTCTGTCAACACATGCACTTAATCATGTGCCTAATTCACTTCGATTAATCACGCCTTTGTCGCTTCACGTTGATTAATCGTGTATAGCTCCACCTAAATGTTATGAATGTTTAATTATCTACATAAAGACCAGATGAGTCGTTTTGTCACTACCTAATGCCTAATGGTCTACACTCTACATAGAGAAGGCGTTTTGTCACGGTTAGGCGTGCGTAGAATTACGCATTCTTTAACCCTGATAGATAGTAGTAGTATTGTGACTGAGACTGACTGGTTTTTCTTATGAATTGTTCTTGTTGCAAATGGTTAATTTCATGCAGGGCGGTAGGTTGGTGTTGGGTGGAGTGCGGAACGTATCCGCGGAGGGCTGTAATTGGAGGAATTTCTACATAACTTTTAGCTGCCGCGATGGTAGAGGTGCGCGTAAAAAGACGAAGAGGCGTTTGAAGACCTACAGAGCCGCCGTTTCCTGTCGCATTTGGAGCGACAAAAAGGAGAAACAAATTTTGGTCTTCAGGGACCCTAGTGGGAAAGGTACGTACATGCACAGATGCCTAACCAATTAATTGATCATTAGCACTCAACTACTTAATTTTTTTGTTTTGTTTTGTTGAACATATGTTCTTAATTTGTCAACTAAACTGGTGGGACTTCGTTGTCGTTCTCCTTTACAGATTTGCTGCCGCCGGATCCCTTCTACGGGTTCTTCACAACGCCTTTCCGTCCTCGTCCTGAGTTAGCTGATCGGAAGGATCGCGAAAAGGAAACCGGAGGAGTTGTAGTTGGGAACTCAGATGATGGTGAATGAAGGTGGTGTTAAAGGAGGATATCGAAAAGGAATCCTGAGGAGTTGTAGGCGGGAACTTAGATTGCAGTTCGTGAATGTCATTTTGGTTACGGTTTTTCGTTTCTCTGACGGTAGTAGCTAGGTTATTTGGTCGTGGTTCCTCGAGTTACTTTTTGGGTTGTCCCTTTGATATCTAACCTCTCATCCGATTCTCCCCGAGTCTGATTCTCTCCCATCACCGATAGCTAGTCTTACTAGCCAAACTATTGTAGTGGGAGATGAAGCTGGTGTGATGGTGATTTGTGGTTGGCTGCCGTCGATTTGATACAGTGGAAGAGGGAGGAGTGAGCGATTGAGCTTTTTTGCTTGTTCGTGTTTATTGGATTACTGATCATGTTGCGGTTACTTTACTTGTCAACCAAGTAACCGAGAGAGTCCTTGTCATTATTGTCTTAGGTTTCCTTGTTAATTGTCGAATAAGGAGACTTGTCCCAAGGAGTCACCCTAGTCTATATATACTTAGCTGCCGTCCTCATTGTGGCAGCAAGTCATCGTCCAAAGTCGTCAATAATATTTTAGTCCGTGAGCTCGAAAGAGCTCACCGTGGATTAGTCCTGTTCATATCGAACATGAATACCACGTAAAATTCTTGTGTATTACTTCCGCATTTGGTTTTCTACATGGTATCAGAGTTGGAATTCACATTGATATATGGGGCGATTATCGGTAGGCTTCGTTCTCAGGTGCTCATTATTTTCTTACAATCGTGGATGATTTCAGTCGAATTGTATGGGTATTCTTGTTAAAACAGAAATCTGAAGTAGCTCGCTATCTCCTCCTATTTTGCAATCAAGCTCAAACGCAATATGGGAGCAATGTCAAGCGAATATAGGCCGATAATGGTAGAGAGTTTGGCACACCTGAGCTGCGCGAATTCTATGAGCAGAAGGGTATCATTCTTCAGACATCATGCGTAGATACTCCGCAGCAAAATGGATTCATTGAAAGAAAACATCGGCGTCTCCTGGATACAGCACGTGCACTTCGATTTCATGTTGGTCTCCCCATTCAGTTTTGGGGGGAGTGTGTCCTTACTGCTGCATACCTCATTAATCGTATGCCACTCACCTCCATCCAGAATCGAACCCCATATGAAGTCCTCCTCGGCAGTCGGCCCCAATATAGTCATCTCAGAACGTTCGGTTGTCTTGTCTATGCGAAGGACACCCACTCTGGCTTGTCAAAGTTCGCGGCTCGTGGAAAACCTGGTGTCTTCGTAGGGTATCCCGCGCATCAACGTGGGTACCGTGTCTTTGACGTTGAACGTCGCGTCATTTATACATCTAGAGATGTATTCTTTCTTGAGGAAGTTTTTCCTTTTCAGCAACTAGGATCATCGGCTACTATACCCATGCATTTGTCCCCTTCATGTCAGCGCACAGATGATGATGAGCCTGCGGACATGGGAGTTTTTGATATGGTCCAAGGGGTTGCCGCTTCACTTGATGAAGATGATATGGTTCCATCTTCCTCTCCATGTCAGTCCGCTTCCCCGTCCTCACCGGCCACTTTCGCGGGTTCAAGTCCTCCACCCAAGTCGCATACATATTCGTCATCATCTCCATCGAGCTCTTATCTCCCACAATCCAAATCCAGTCCGGAGTCCTCCGATAAGACCACCAGTCCCACATCATCGACAGATAGCGCTAGTCCTGCATCTGTCCCCGTTGAGCCAGTCCCTCGTCACAGCACCCGAGCAGTCCAGCTTCCGATTCGACTTCAAGACTACGAAGTCGAGCTTCCAGGATCGCGTCCTCAGGCAAATCATGTTGTCCTCTATCCCATTAGTAACTACGTGAACTATGAGAGGTTATCTCCCGATCACCACGCCTTTGTGGCCCAAGTCTCGGCCACCTTCGAGCCAACTTATTTTTGGCAGGTCGTTCGCTACGAACATTGGCAGAAGGCCATGCAGGAAGAAATTAAGGCCCTTGAAGCAAAAGGGATGTGAGTTTTGGCCAATGCACCTCTTGGTAAGAGTATCGTCGACTGCAAGTGGGTTTACAAAGTCAAGTTTAAGCTTGACGGGATGGTTGATCGATACAAGGCACGCCTAGTGGCTAAAGGGTTTACTCAGCTCGAAGGTATTGACTATCATGATACCTTTGCTCCCGTTACTAAACTTGTTACGGTTCGATGCTTGATTGCTGTTGCGCTTAGTCAGAATTTGTCTCTTCATCAACTTGACGTCAACATTGCTTTTCTGCATGGGGATCTTCACGAGGAAGTCTACATGCGAGTCCCCCAGGGTTTCTCGCGTCCTGGTGATGCCCGTGTCTGTCGATTGCAGAAATCTCCCTATGGTCTTCGTCAAGCATCTCACAATTGGTACAAGAAGTTCTCTCGTGCTCTACTTGGGTTCCAGTTCGTCCAGAGTCGAGCTGACCACTCTCTGTTCATCCACTGGTCTGGGTCAAGTTTCGTCGCTGCTCTCATCTACGTAGATGATGTGATTCTTACTAGTAACGATGGGGATTTTATCCAAAAGGTCAAGGATTTTCTCCATGCTTAGTTCACGATTAAGGATTTGGGTCCCCTGAAGTACTTTCTAGGGATCGAAGTTGCTCGTTCACGTCGTGGGGTTGTTCTCAACCAACGCAAATATGCTCTTGACATACTTGCGGATTGTGGACTTGAAGGTACACGCACATGTGCTACTCCGATCGAGCAAAATCAACAACTCGGTCGATTACCCTCTACTCCAGCAACTGATCCTTCTAGTTTTCGTCGATTGGTGGGGTGCTTACTTTATCTCACCGTCACTAGACCTGATATTCTGTATGCAGTCAACATACTCAGTCAGGCCGTCCATGCCCCGACACAGGCGCATGTTGATGCCTCGGTCCGCATCCTTCGCTACTTGAAACAGTCTCCAGGTCGTGGCCTCTTTTTCCCAGCTAATAATCCGCTCCATCTTGAAGCCTATTGTGATGCTAATTGGGGAGGTTGTCCTACTACTCGTCGGTCCACTACATGGTATTTTGTTCGTTTTGGTGGTGCTCCCATTTCCTGGCGCACTAAGAAGTAGTCTGTGGTTGCACGATCCTCGGCTGAGGCCGAATACCAGGCCATGGCCGCCACCGTTAGTGAGGTCATTTGGCTACAATGGTTACTTTCTGAGTTAGGTCACTCACAGTCATCCGCCACGCCATTATATTGCGACAGTCAGGCGGCTCTACACATTTCTGCTAATCCTGTGTTTCATGAGCGTACTAAGCACGTAGAAATGGATTGTTATTTTGTCCGTGAATGCGTTCTCTCTGCAAACATCTTGCCTTCCAAGATTTCTACTCATGACTAGCCAGCATATTTGCTCACCAAAGGTCTAAGCTCCGATCAATTTGCCTATCTCCTTTCCAAGCTCGGCATGCTTGACATCCATGCTTTCGCGTGAGGGGGAGTGTTGCAGTTACTTTACTTGTCAACCAAGTAACCGAGAGAGTCCTTGTCATTATTGTCCTAGGTTTCTTTGTTAATTGTCGCAAGTGGTCACCCGACAAGTTGCTCGAAGTTGGATTTGGAGGAAGCGCGATACACGACGTGGTTATCCAATGTGGTGCGTGGTGCTGGTACCTAAGGCGTCGGGGGACTGGAGGATGTGCGTCGATTACACGAGTCTGAATCGAGTGTGCCCGACAGACGCGTATCCAATGCCTCGCATTGACCAGCTGGTAGATGCAACCGCCTACCACGAGGCGTTGAGTTTTTCAGACATGTTTTCCGGGTACCATCAGATTCTCATGTGCGAGGAAAACCGAGAGAAAACCGCGTTCATGACCCCCTTCGACAACTTCTGCTACAAAGTTATGTCGTTATGGTTAACGAACGCGGAGGCAACCTACCAGCGCATGGTCAACACTGTGTTCCAAGGGCAGATCAGGAGAAACATGGAGGCATACGTAGATGATTTGGTAGTCAAGAGCAAGAGGAATGAGGACCACTTGAAGGATTTGCGCGAAACTTTCGAGACCAAGCGTACTCATTCCCTACGTCTCAACCCGCTGAAGTGCGTGTTTGGCGCGGAGGCCGGTAAGTTCTTGGGCTTTATGATAACGAAGAGGGGTATCAAAGTCAACCCAAAGCAAGTGGAAGCGATCAGACGCCTCGAACCTCCGAGAACGCCTAAGGAAGTGCAATGTTTGAACGGGCGCCTGGCGGCGTTGGGGCGGTTCATCCCGCATTCAGCGGATAGGGGTGCTCCCTTCTTCCGGGTTCTAAAGAGGGTCGCGCGCTTCAAATGGACGGAGAAATGCGATGAAGCGTTCGAGCAATTGAAGAACCTGTTAGTAGCACCCACTGTGATGACGACACCACGAATGGATGAGACGCTATACCTGTACATTGTAGTCGCGCGCACGGCGGTCAGCGTGGTGCTTGTCTCCAGGGCAGTAGCAGATGGAGAAGAGCGCCCCGTTTATTATGTGAGCAAAGTGATGACGGGTCTGGAGACGCGTTATGCGCCCATCGAAAAGGCGGCCATTGTCGTTGTTTTTGCGGCCGAGAAGTTACGCCCGTATTTCCAGGCGCACACGGTGGTGGTGCTCACCAACCTACCATGAAGAGCACGTTGGGGTCCACGGATGTATGGTGAAATGGGCAGTGCAACTAAGTGAGTACGACATCAAGCACGCGCCTCACCCAGCGATCAAGGCGCAAGTGTTGGTCGATTTCGCAGCGGAAGGAGTGATAAGCAGAGGAGGAGTAAGAGAAAGCTGGCATGTCTACGTTGATGGTGCGGCCAGCCGATTCGGAGCGGGGGAGAGAATAGTGGTCATCACTCCCATGGGCGCGATGCATGAGTTGGTGCTCCGGTTCTCGTCGTTAAAAACAAACAACGCGATAGAGTACGAGGCTGTGATAGCGGGCCTGAATGCGGCGTGAGAGTTGGGAGCGCGGAGGATACAGGTTCGCTCTGACTCGACCTTAGTGATAAACCAATTGAACGGCGTGTTCGAGGTGAAGGAGGAGGCACTGAGCGCATACCCGAAGAAGATCGAGGGCATGCACACCTGATTTGAGAAGATGGAATTCATGCACGTCCTGTGAGAGGAAAATGCCTATGCAGACGCGTTGTCCAAGCTAGCCACCGCTACCGACTTCGAAAGTGAAAGGCACGTGATCGTCTCAAAGGAGCACCCTTTGGAAGAATCGATGGTAGGAGCAATCGAGGAGGGGGCGCTGTGAAAGAAAGCTGGATGACTCCGATCAAAGCATATCTGCTCCACGGGATAGTCCCCGAAGATGCAAGGCAAGCATGGCAAGTGAGGTGCAAGGCTGCCCAGTGTACGATCCTCGATGGCCAGATGTACTAGAGGTCGCATTCAGGGGCTTATTTGATAGCAGAGGTGCACCAAGGTGCATGTGGCATGCACTCGGGGGCAAGGAGTTTTGAAAAAGTGTTAGTGCGTCAAGATTACTACTGGCCTTCCATCAGAAAGGATGCTAAGAAGCACGTGGATAGTTGCCACCAGTGTCAGATTCATGCTCATGATGTTCACGTCCCCCAAGCACCTATGCAGGGCAACGTGGGCGGCCTTTCTTGCAGTGGGGGATGGATTTGTTAGGGCCCTTCCCCAAGGTGCCCGGGAAGATGAAATACTTAATTATGGCGGTGGACTACTTTTCTAAGTGGGTTGAGGCGGAGCCCCTAACGACTATTACCCAGGCTCGAGTTAGAAAGTTCACAACCAGAAACATCTTCACCCCGTTTGGACTGCCAGAATCAATTATCGCTGACCATGGTAAGCAGTTCGACTGCCGGCAATTCATCGAGTTCTGCGACGAAACTGCCAGAATCAATTTCTCGTCCGTGGCCTACCCCCAGGCCAATGGGCAGGTGGAGGCGGCTAATAAGAGCATCCTCCATGGACTCCATACGAGGATGCTGGATGCCAAGAGAAGGTGGGTGGAAGAACTCCCAGGTGCATTTTGGGCGCATAGAACGACGTACAAGGTGGCGACGGGTGAAACGCCGTTTTGCCCTGACCTATGATAGCGAGGTGGTCATACCGGTGGAAGAGCGCTTTCCCACATACAGGGTGGCAGGATATGAGGAATAGACCAATGAGCAATAGCGCATACATGACCTCGACATGCTGGAGGGGCGCAGGGACATCGCTTCTGTGCGCCTCGAGGCCATGAAACGACAGGTGGCTAAGTACTACAACCGTAAGATGCGTCATCATCAGATACTTCTAGGAAGTTTGGTGTTACGACGCGACTTTCGGTCAAAGGCATGTGAGGGGAAAGCTGACGCCAAAGTGGAAAGGTTCATATCGTGTCCGAGAAATGGTAGGCCCAGCCACGTTTAAGCTGGAACGCATGGGAGGGAAGGCCATCAAACTAATTTGGAATGCCCAGAACCTCAAGGTGTACCATGGGAAGGAAATGGAGGAAGTTTCGGAGTGACGCATCCGCATGACAAGGTTGGGCGCCCTTATTTTGGCAAGTATTTGAAAGTTGTTTGTTGAGTATAGGGGGAGTTACTATTACTGCAAGCGCGCCGCCCCACGCGCCTCAAAGTTGTGCCTGTAAAGCGCCCTACTTTTGCGCCTTGTGGTTGTGTCAACTGTTATCGTAAAGCGCCCTGCCATTTGCACCCTTATGAGTAATTTGAGGAATGTTCAATTTTCGCCTAAGTACTGGAACTTAATGCGCCCTTCGATACTACACGCCCTGATGTTTGTCTTTGTAAAGCGTCTTAAAAATTTGCGCCCATAATAAGATCGGTTGTTATCCATCCAGAGCACATGAACGTAATGCGCCCTTATGTACTATGCGCCCTAGTAATTGGTCTCGTAAAGCGCCTTAAACATTCGCGCCCGCAACAAGTATGAGACGTTCCAAAGTTAGAAAACACGGGGGATCGGCCAAAGCAACTTATGAAAGTAAGCAAGTCATAACATTAAGAACGTGCGAAACTCGAATTTCATGGAATTACAACTAGTAAAGTTAAGACAACTAAAATTCATAGAAAGTGATGCAAAAAAGGGCGCGTCGTCAGTCCTCTTCGCTTCGCACAGAGCCCTCGGGCGTCCCCTGCTGCTCCTCTTGATGATCCTCTTGCTGCTCCTCTTGGCGCCTTTCACCGCCCTGCCCTTCTTCCTCATCCTCCGCGCGAGCATCCGCGTCATCGTCCACCTCCTCGTCAAGCGCCTGCTCGTCGTAAGCCCCGTCATCCGCTGAAGGTGGAATGTCCAGTTCGATGATGTACGCCAAGTCGCTGGTTTTGCGCTTGATGTCCATGAACTTGAGGATATACTCGATCAGGGCATAAGAGTTCCACTCCACCTCGGGTTGGTCCTCACTAAACTTGTGTTGTAAGATCTTGACCGTGTCAATAACGGCGTCAGCTTGGAGGTTCTTTCCCACCTCGAACTTGTGGTACTCGGCCAGATCCCGGGTGAGGCGCTTCTCCTCGGCACGAAACTCCTTTAGCTCTTTCTTGTACTGCTCCTTGGACCTTTTCACCCTCTTGTTCTCCTCTGAGATCTGGCGCGCCTTGACTCGGATGGTGTCCACCTCTTCTTGGAGCCTCTCGCGCTCCGACGCCAGGTCGGTCAGTCGTTCGCGAAGCCGTCGCTCGACCTCCGCCGCCTCAGCTTGCGAAGCGACAGCTTGCGCCACATAGTGCTCCAGGCACTGGGGCTCCACTTTCGTGCGCACCTTCTCCTGCTCCGCCGCCAGGCCGGTGGCCAACTTGGCCGCCCAAGCTTCAACCTCCTTATGCGCCTTGTCACGAGCACTTGTTAGCGACTCATTCGTCTTGCGGGCGGCCGCAAGATCGTTTTGAAGGCGCTCCACAGTGGATGCGGCGGTGATGTTCTCCTTGTTCATTTGATCAAACTCTCAAGCGGTGGACTCAATCAGCATCATCATCTGCGTCATACACACACCACATGGTAAACATTAAGTCAGGATTGCCGAAACCAACAAACTTGGTAAAATGTTGAATCGAGAATGAAAGGCGCCCCACCTCAACCGTTAGGTTGGCCATGTTGCGCAAAGGTCGAGCGGTGTTGAGGTGGTCAGGGCGCTCGATCACAGCGGCGTGTGATAGCACCATTTGCATCGAGGCGCCCGCGTCCTTGGCCGCTTTGACAAGCACGCCGACGGCGACCTTCCCGGTGTGCTCCCCAACAGTGTGCATGACCAGGCTAGCTGGCACGCCCGAGGCCTCAAAGTTATCCAACTTGGCCTTCTTCCCCGCCAAAATAAGGGGTTTGGCGAGCCTCTTGCCACGCGCCTTGGACTGGGAGGACCGTGTCGGCGTCTTAGTAGTGACACCCTAGCTGCGTGAAGGTGGGGAGTGGGGAGGCGCACTGGCCGCGTGAAGATGGGGAGGTGCCCCGGCTGCGCGAAGCCGTGGAGACACCTTGTCCAACATCAAGACGAAGGGGGAGTAATTAGAGACCTCTGGTTGTTCGGATGCGGCGGCCGAGGGAGCCTGTTCTGGTGGTTACCGTGTCTGTTGAACATCTGCTGAGGAAGCAATCCTCACTCGTGTGAGCGCCTTGGCCTTGGTAGCTTTGGTGCGCGTGCGGGACACGGTGGGTATCAAATGGAGCTTCGACCGAATAAGGTCGGAGACGGACGTGAACACAGTCCCTGCAAGGATAGCAAGAAGTCAGCTCTCGGACAGCATAAGGCGCATTCGCAAAAAGCAGGGCGTGCTAACGCGAGAAACATAATTAACTATCGTCATTGTAAAATTCCGCCAAAAGGCGGGCGTATTCCTTGTTTATCTCAAGATTAATGGGCTCTGAAGCAAGGCGCCTCGCCATGTCTTATATTCAGGGGGGATATTTGTTAAACTCAGCTTCGTCTCCAAAGGCCCACTAGGTAGGGGGCGCCACGCCGCTCTTAAAAAAAGGCGTGTCGCGTGGACAGACGAAGAAGAAGAAGGACTCAAACCACGAGCGCCCCTTTTTTTACAGTGGCTGATGAAGTTAAACCCAAGCTTGGGGCGCTTTTGAAGACTAAAGCAGTTGGGGCTTCGTATCATCATGAAGAAGTGCCAAAAAAGTTTGAAGGAGGGAAGGATGTTGTGTTTGCGACACTTGAGGCGGAAGAGGACGGTGTACAAAATAATGACAGGGGAAAGGCGCCCGAGGAAGCATTGGCAGAGGTGCAGGATGCCTTCGAGAATGGGGTCGATGGGGAAACGCAGCCCAAAGCGGGCGTATTCTTGGTAGACTCCCACCCACCCCTCTCCGCACACCTCGACGCATGCGGGCCATGCGACTGGTGGTGGATGCGCGTAGCGCCAATCAGCCGACATCTGGGCGGCGCAAATTAATTTGGCAAAGCGCACGTGGAGTATCTTGGACACGTGCGGAGGACCAACCTCTACCTCCGGCATTCGGTCAATGTCCTGAGGCATGTACCCAGGCGGCCACATACTGCCCCATTGACGTAGCACATACTCTCGAAGCGCACCTGTGCCCAAGTCAGAAGAGGAGGAGGAGGTCAAGAAAGGACTAGTGCAAAAAAGGGGGACGCTTTTGGGAAGGGCGCTCACGAAAAAGGTAGGAGTGCAAATGATAAGAGGCCTTCGCTCTCGACTCTCGCGGCGCATTACTTGCCTAGACGGGGCGCACATGGCAAAAAATTTCCAAATAAGGAGGGTAGAGAGCTATGACATACCTGAAGCGGCGGCAGGAGTCTCTAAAGGCGACTGGTTAGACGAAGCGGGTTGATTTGAGGAAGACATTTTTTACGCGTGCTGAGCAAAGGTAGGCGCACACCAAAAGATGTAGAAGGCGCCCAAGTTGCTGCTCGCGCGAAGGTTAAGAGAACTAGGGAGAGCGGAAACTTAGAGAGATAAAGAAGAGAGAGAGGAATTTTGGCAGAATGAAGGAGGAGCAGAGGGGGCAATATATAGGGGCAGACAAAGGAGAAAGAGGAGAGGCGGGAAGGCAAAACGTCGCCTAGTTTGAAGGAAATTCGAATTTGAAATTCGAATTTTCCTTCACACTAGGGGGGAGGATGGGATAGTAGACTCGATGATCCAGGCAGGATGTGGGGCACATGGCGACAAAATACGGTAACGGTTGGGAGCATACAGAAGTGGGGCCGAGCGCCTCGGGGCGCTGGGCGGGATGTCAGAGTGTCGAGGCGCCTGACAAGGATGAGGTACAGTGCATTAAATGACGTGATGACGTGGGGCGGATTTAGGAGGCATTGGTCGGCCCGACTTCGGGTATAAATAGTGAAGTTGGTGGAGCTCATTTACGAAGGTTAGAACTTCTCTCTAGAAATGATTGTCTTAACTTGGGCGTCGGAGTGCTAACGAGCCCCAAAGAAGGAGCTCGGTGGGTGCCTTTGTGTGCAGGATTAGGGCGCGCATCCGGTGTGAAGAGAGTAAGGAGGGAACGCGTTGTCTTTTGAGGCGTAGGTTTACATGGCACAAACAGTTTCTCCAATGTTTGATAGACTTGACGATATTGAGCCTTAAACAAGTCGTCCAAATATGCTATATGAACAAGTTAGGAAGTATTTGTACTTAGATACAAGCATACACATATTTAGGTTAGATATATAATGTTGCGTTCGGACCACACAATTTGAGAAGTGTACCATAGTCATTACTGCTTGGCGACGGATTATATTGCGCTCTTGAGATGGACATGAATCCAAAATATGAACTTCTTTCTTGTCTATAATAATTAGGCAAAATACACTTGTGTAGCCAAAACTTTGACGGTTTTGCCAAATATAGCCACTTTTGGAGAAATACCAAAAATAGCCACTTCCGTCCAATTGTTTGACGGTGTCAAGTAACGGGTTGCCTGTACTAACGGCATTGCTGAGTTGGCGACTGTTAGTCAATTAAAAATGTGAGGTAGAAACTAAAAATAAATAAAATAAATAATTTTATTTTCTCTCTTCATCTCTCTTCGCTGCAAATCTAGGTTTCGAAAGTTGGATCTCGAAAGCGTCAAATCGGTGTTTTAATCGAGAAGATGAAGTCAGGGGAAAAGAAGATGAAATCTGGGTTTCAATCTCCCTCCATCCTCCGATCTTCCCCTTTATTTCCCTCCGATCTTCCCCTCAAACCCACCATTGTCAATCTCCGATCTTCCACCTCTCTCTTCCCTCCGATCTTCCCCCAAACTTGCAGTGTCGCGACGATTAGAATCCACAACAACGTTGACCAAATTTGTAAACCCCAAAGGCCCAAACCCAGATCTGGGTGGGGTCACATAAATAGTAGCGACAGCGAGTTGGGAGACGAGGGTTTCATGGGCACCTACGTGGCGAATGTGGCTAATTTGTCGTTGACGTGTGCGATGATTTGGCGTCCTAGTTAGCTTAACGTTAAACTAACTGACGGATTCTCTAACACCGTTAAAGCTTGTAACGGAAATGGCTATATTTGGCACAAAAGTTTCGAAATTCTGGCTATAAGTGGTATTTCTCCAAATTTGACTATTATTGGCATTTGGCACAAGTGCGAAAGATTTGACTATACAATTGTATTTTGCCTAATAATTATAGCTAAAAACAAGTGAACTTTCTCATCGTGCATTTCATCATGCAGGGGAATACAGACCTACACATAAACAAATATTCAATACATATAAATAAACTTACCGTTGCAATAGACACTTATAAGACACCAAATCTAGTTGAAGAAATTACCTTGTTGCACATATTAAGTCTTGACAAGAATTTGGTATCATAACAAGCTAAAGCCTTCTCTGGTGCAATGCATAATTGAAAACGAGATCCTGGTGAAATAAAATTTGACTCGAAATAAATATAAATTATAGCAAAACAATTGTTTACCGCTTGCCATAATTGAACAAGAATTTGGTATCATAACAAGCTAAAGCCTTCTCTGGTGCAATGCCATAATTGAACACGAGATCCTGGTGAAATATAAATTTGACACGAGATTGGTCATTATTTTCATACCGAGCTTGGCTTTAGTGTGCGTTTTGTAGGTCGGGAGAACAATAGGGTAGCTCATTTGGTAGCTAGGAAAGCCCTCTCCTTGTATCCGACTATAAGTCGCTTCTTTGATTTTCAGACCTGGCTGGTTTCCATGGTGTAACTGTCTATTTTTTGGATCAATACATGATATCTTTTAACAAAAAAAAAATTGTTTACCGCTTGCCTTCTCAGGTGGAATAATATTCATTGTTTTTGGCATCCAATCCATTATTTCAAACATCACACGCTCTTTTTTGTCTTGTAACTAACAAATAAGAATTCAAATAAGAATGCAACAAAAATGATAGCCTACCTGTAGTTCCGAAGACAAAAAACATACTCCTTTTCCACTTTCAGGATTCTTCCACAATTCATCTCATGTTAGGTGGCAGGCCATTGCTGTAATAACCTAATAAACCACCAAATAAAACCCATTACAAATTGTGATAAATGGTAAAACAAAAGATTTTTTTTTAACATACATCAGCATGTACGAACGACTTTGGGCTTAAGGTCCACAAAGCCTTTTGGTACAATTTATGTGAAAAGTTTGGACAAGAATCTCGTTGCCCGAAAGCTCAACTAAAAATATATAATGAGCAAGATTTACTTGCTCATCGTTGTAGACCACAAATGCTGGGAGCCGAAACTTCAAACCGCCCTACAATGAAGGAAACCAATAAATAGAAATAAAAAAAATTGTTCAACGGTAAAAAAAAAAATTGTTAGACTGAAGCAGAAGAGCATTTGGGAGATCTCTAGTTCTTCTGCTGGAACGTGGGTTTGGCGAAGACTTCTGAAGTGTCGAGGAATTGCTGCTCCTCATATTTCAGGTATCCCCCCTAACGTTTTCTGGCAGGGTGAACAAATGAATAGATATTCTGTCAAAAGAGTTTGGGATGCTATTAGAGTGCACATGCAGATTGTGGAATGGTTTAAGCTTGTGTGGTCTAAGGAAGTTATTCCTAGGCATGGTTATATTGTTTGAATGGCCTTGCACAATAGATTGGTGATGCAGGATAAGTTGTTAGCGTGGGGAAAACAAGTTTCTGGATTCTGTTTGTTGTGTCCGGGTGGAGTTGAGTCCCGAAATCACCTCTTGGTTTCCTGTTCGTTCACTGTATATGTGTTGTGGAATTGTTTAAAGCAGTTCTCACCACCAGCTGAGGGCGAATGGAATGCAGTAGTGGCTTGGTGTGTTCAGCATTGGGGGAAGAAGGTACCAAGGCAAGCTTTGTGTCGTTTGATTTGGAGCACGGCCGTTAGTTATATTTGGCGCGAGAGATGTGTTCGGCTCTATGGATCGAAGATGATTAGGCAGCCCGAGGAGATAGTAAAGCAAGTCCTTTCAGAT